ATTCGAAATCATCAGAAATTTATAACGTTAAAGAATCCGAGACGCCTAATTTAATTATAAATTTCAATTCAGAAATATTCGTTTAGTGTTAATTCTAGTAGGCTACGGAGTTTTGATTTTAAACGTTTGTTTAGCCAACAGCTACTTGGGGATTTAGTTATTTTACTAGTGCAGTTGATAGTACCTAAATTTTTAATCGAATTATCTAAACTATGTCTGCACTTTAGGCTGCTACTATGATAAACCAATCCATAAACCCAAATACGATTAGCAACAACAACTATGATGGGTTTATTGATAAATGTTAAAGGCGATTCAGATGATTTCTAAATTCAAAAGATATGAAGATATAGTAAAACGTATGTACGGGCCAGATTAACAAGCAGGTTGTTGACGCATATGACGATTTAAAAATAATGAACATGACCAGAAAATAGTTTTAAAGTTTAGACTGCTTGTGAGACTTCAGGCAGGAATATGATGCGTTATAAACATTCCATAAGGAGTTACAGCATTTAGCCTAGGGACACTTACAAATATATAGCAAAATGAACCGGAAACATATACATGTTAAGTAAAAAAAAATCACCCAGTAAAATAGTTGAACTCGCCTTGATTATTTTTGAAAATAAGATTATTCAGTGGACGACATATATAACGCCATTCGTGAGTAGTATTGATCCAAAAGCATCCAGAATAAAACATGCAGTATGGCAATTAATTCCAGGGTGCTTGATGCTGTTGAGGTTTTTTACACTCGCTCGGATAAGAACAATCGAATGAATCCAGATAATTGTATGGTTGTCATTGAACGAACCATCTAAAAATGATTGCAGAAAACTTATAGCTGAAACTCACCGTATGTTTTTGGAGTAGTCATCCTCGTTGTTTGGCAATGGAACTCGAGAATATGAAATTAGGCAGGCAGTGGTCGGAAGAAAAGATATTACAGGATAGTGCATCGTTTAAAACAGGATGAGGTGTTAAGTGAAGGAACACTGAGAATTAGATCCAGATAACTATTTAGTCCTTGATCGCATTGTTAGTCAATGTATATTTACGCTATTTACAGGTCATATTTGCTAGAGCTTGATGTTTAAACAAGACTATGTCGCTGAAGCATGTAAATGCTATTACAGCTTGTTAACAAACCATCAAAGCTAATTAGTTAATATAGACGACCAGTTTTTATTATCGATTGAGCTAGTTTGTCATGAGGACTAATCAATATAACATTACAATGATGCATGTGAGCATTAATCAGAGGACTATTGGAATACAGGGTTAACATAAATATAAAATCGATCGAGAAAGTTGAAGTGGAAATAAGGATTAATAATAATAGGTTGCGTTTCTTTAGTTGGGCTCACCAATGTAGAATTATAGTCTACTATGATATTAGTACTGCTCTAATAATAGACCTAATTCTAAATTTGTAGATTCGTCATGATATAACTGCCTAATCTATAAGATCTTACGTGGAAGTCACACCATCGACTACGCCAACTCACTGTATCGTATCAATTACCAATACATGATGAAGAACGAGGTTAGGTTAGAGAAAGAACAATATATTTAATATGAATAGAGACCACGCCTGCATGGCCGAGCCATGCCACTCGATCAACTCCAGTCCATTCAATTCATTCTTCGCGCCTTCTCCATTGTTAGGTATTTATCCGCGTTAAATATTGAATATCTATTTTCTGAGTAGTCTCGTGTTCACAGCTTTGTGGATTGTGTGGCTATTGTCCAATGCCACTACAGGGTGTTATCAAGGTAATTACGATCAACGAATTAGGAATGATGAATATGAAGATTATAATAGAGATGATCAAAAATAATGATAATAAGGAAAACAAATGAAATAAAGAAAGGGGGTAAGAGGTTTATAATATTCAGTCTAGGTATTCGGTGATCCAGTCGTAGGCCAAGGTAAACATAGAGGCTGGATATATTTTTTCATGATACATACATTAGGTCTTCTGCAGTTGATCCAGATGGCTTCGGCTATGTAAAGCAGTCGTAATCTGGCTCCTTGAGGTAGATATTTTGGAACTTGATATAAAACAGAGAAAGCTTCCTTTATTTTGATATGATGTTCACTATCTACCAAATGAGAAAGAATGGTGCTGTTAATCGACTTGGTAACTCCTTTACCCAACCAAGCTGGTACATGTTCACGAACACTCAAGGATAAAGCCCTCTGAGTACGGCCTATGTACCTAGCTCCACACGAGCAGTTGAATTGCTATACACACATGGAGGAACCCACCTTCGGTAACTTATCCTTGATTAGTTGTGTGAGTACTGGTTTAGTCTAGAAAATTATGTGTAACTTGGCGGCATGAAACGTCCTTTTGACAGATCTTTTGAGTCGACGTGTTAGAATATCACCCGCAATGTCACCTTTAAAGTCAAGTATCAGATATAAGGTCTTTTTACTGACTGTGTCGCAATGTCTTCTTTTTTTATTAGTATTATGTACGAGGTATTTTTTGACGAAATTATCAGGATAGCCATTATTTCGTAATGTGTTCTTTAGTATATCTATTTCGTCATCCACACTGTCTTCAGAACATAATAACTTGATTCTGTGGTTGAGACACTTAACCAAATATATTTTATACTAAAGAGGTGTGAAGCTTTGGAAATTACATGTACAAATCTCCAAAGATCTTCCAAAGTGACTAAAACTAGTGTAGTTGAGGGTCTGAACTACCTTTCATTAGATATAACCAAGGACCTGTTCTCGTATTAAATCATGAAGAAGAGCGAGAGCAAGGAAGTCAGTAGGTTTGTACAAACCTATGACAAAAATATTGAATGTACTTGTGGATGGTCATTGGGACTTCTTGCTGCACACGCTCTTATGTGCTACAGACCATTCAGTTCCTCAAACGGTTCCCAAAAGCTTCAAGCCACCTACAGTAATCAAGAACCGTACCCTTCGCCTCCTAAGCCGCAAACGGCACTGTTGGGCGGAATACAAACGAACTAATAACGATGGAGCGTATAGGCAATACAAACATATCAGGAACACATGCACGAAGGCTATAAGAGAAGACAGGCTTCAGTACCAAACAAAGCTTATGGACAAATTCGCCTCTAACCCTAGAAGCCTATTCCGTTATGCAGCCTCTCTTCGTCAAGCCAAAACAGGAGTTTCTCAACTGCTAGGTCCTAACGGCCCGACCAACAACGATGGCGACGCCGCTAACCTTCTGGCGGCCCATTACTCTCAAACATTTCAACCGGCTGATATCAACTTTACTCATGACAGTTTCATCTGCAATTCCACAGGACTTTCTGAAGTGGACCTAAGCGCTGACTTGGTGTTCCGGAAACTGCAGCACTTAAGACTTGACACTTCTGCTGGCCCGGATATGGTTCATCCTGCCATACTGAGGGAGGCAGCCTCAATCCTGGCAACGCCGCTTAGCGTGATGTTTTCACACTCGCTTAGCCGAGGCAAACTACCGGAAAATTGGAAGTTGGCTCACATCACACCAATTTTCAAAGGTGGTCGACGCAATGAACCTTCAAGTTACCGGCCGGTAGCTCTTCTGTCGTTACCTTCAAAACTCATGGAGTCCCTGATATGCGACGGTTTAAATGACTACCTACTGTCCTTAAATTTCTTCTCACCCCAACAGCATGGTTTCAGGAAGGGTTACTCTTGTATAACCAACCTGCTGACTGCGGTGGACAGATGGACAAGCATCCTCGATCGCAAGGGAAAGGTTGATGTCATTTACCTTGATTTCTCAAAAGCTTTTGATAAGGTTAACCACTTGTGTCTTATCAACAAGCTCAAACGACTAGGTATCAAACCACCTCTAATCGACTGGCTTACTTCATACCTAAAAAATCGACACTTTAAGGTTAGGGTTAATTTCACTTTATCTCAAGCTATGGAATGTCCTAGTGGGGTCCCCCAGGGCTCAGTACTAGGGCCTCTTCTCTTCTTGATCTACATAAATGATCTTCCTCAACAGGTAACGTCAGACTTATTACTTTTTGCCGACGACGTGAAACTTTGGAGAGAGATACGCAACCAAGACGATATACAGGCACTTCAAGAGGATCTGACTCGACTTCAAAGTTGGGCAGACGATAACGGACTTACCTTTAACACTTCTAAGTGTAAAGTAGTCCATCTGCGACATGTCGCAAACTACAGTTACAACTTAGGAAACTCCTCTCTAGTAGTATCCCAAGTCGAAAAAGATTTAGGAGTCCTGGTGCCCCATGACTTAAAGTCTTACGCTAATTGTGACAAAAATGCCTTCCGAGCAAACCTTGCACTGGTAACGTTGAGGCGCATTTTTGGTCAGTTTGACGGAAGAACTTTCCACACAATCTTCAATAGTTTCATCCGTCCCCATTTAGAGTACGGAAACATAGTACTCCCCCCCTCACTCCAAAAGGATAAGGTCACTTTGGAGCGTACCCAACGGCGAGCCACGAAATCAGTTCGAGGACTCAAATCTAAGCCTTACGAAGAACGCCTCCGTTCACTAGACCTTTACCCACTAGAATATAGGCGTCTTAGAGGTGATTTATTAATGGCTTATAGTATTCTTAACACTTCTGGACATCCTCTTAAACACCTACTTAAGCTTAGTTCGAACAATAACCTGAGGGGTAACACCCAGAAACTGGAAACACAACATAGCAAGACGGAATGTAGACACAACTTCTACTCCTTAAGAGTTGTCAAAAGCTGGAACTCGCTGCCGGCCGAGCTAGTCCAAGCGACTTCTCAGGAGTCCTTCAAGAGGCAACTTGACCTATTCTTAAGGACCAAGGACAGCATCGCACTATGATTTACCAATTTCTTTTCCTCTTTTATTGTTAACATTATTAGGTTCCTGCCTGGAGGATTTGGTGATCCCCTGCTACTAGACACGGAAGCCTGTTAAGCGAAAGCTTCTTCTATTCCGTCCACAACCATTTGAACCATTTGAACCATTTAACGTAGCGCGAAATACGGTGTTTGCGTTACCAGTAGAAAAATATAGGTAGGCCATTGCCAGACAACTGGTCGGCCATTGGAAAACGGCTAGTTCTTCTACGTTCAGAGTTCACAGAGTTTTACGAATCGAATTTACGTCCACTGAATTCGAGGTTTTATTTTCACTAGTTGTTGTGGGACATAAATTTCGCCTAACTTTTAGGGATCGCAGAAACAACAGGTAGTCTTATCTTAAATGAGCTTTTGGGTAATGAGATATAATAATTCTTGAGTAAGTTACTTAAATGATTAGTTTTAGGCTCGTTCTGTAGGATTCTTCGTAACTGTATCGCATAAATAAGCGTTTATCAATATGTAAATTACACAATATTACTCCTTAACTTTTCTCTGTAGTCGTCGAATACTCACTGTTCTTACTGCATTTTTTCACGTTTTAGCAAATTAACAACAAATGGATTCAGCTTGTCACACTATCTCTTATTTACGAAGCTTAGTTGTCGCCTGTATGGTTCTTATTGTAGCGTATAACCGAGTGTACAACTGCCTTAGTTTTCTTTAAGGAAAAATTAAACGAATACGTCAAATCCTTCTCGGTTACCTTATGTCCAAACGTTTGCAATCTGCATGTTAGCATTAGTGCAGCTGCCTTTTGTTCCTCACCGTTACTTCTAGTATATCCGGACCAGAATGTTTTTACAATAAACAATGTGAAATATTCGTTTGCAACCTTTAAAAAAAACGACGGTCTAAGTATAAAAATGCTTGTTGGAGCCGACTGCAACAAAAGATAGTTGATTAACTCAATGAAAATTTGTGTGGTCGAACAACTTTTGACAAGTGTATGATGCTTCGCTCTCAGGGTTTCCGGTTTGTCATTTATGATGACTAAATTTTTCAAAACCGGCCGTTTATGTAAATTTTCATTGTAAATACTAGTCTTTAAGTACATGAAAGTCTTGGAATTTATTAAACTCGCCTTTTGAAAACAACACTTTCAAAGATTTGATACAATATTTTCTAAATCTTTATGCTGAATCCTTTCCCAGTGTAGACATGAGTGTTCAATCTTTTCAATTATCCGAACTAGAGGAAAAAGCTCGTGCAAGTGCACTCAAAAGAGTTTCTGATCATTTTCAAGTTAGTTTGTATACATCTGATTAATTAATCTCTTTTCAGAAGCCAGAACAACTGGATAAGATAGACATTATTAAATCTAGATTTCTAAATCAAAAGGTTAGTCCTACTGTTCCTAATACATTCAAATATTCATTCTGTACAGACTGCCACCGAAGCTCAGTTAAAAATGGCTCTATATAGCCAGTTAGACGGCAGTAAAGTCGGTTTGGAAAAACTGGATACTGCCCTCGCTGAATCACAAACATGTAGGAACAGGTAGATTTTACTTTTCTTATTATGATCTAGACTCATCCAACTGGGATCTTCATTGTCTGGTTTGTCCGGCTTGTCGCAGCAGTTGCATGAGTTAAAAAATCTCTCAACTAAATACAGTCAAGTGAGTGTTCTTTTGCTACTACCAAAAAATGATGTAGCTTGGTGCTGCTATGGAAAATATGAGTTATCTTGTGAAGGCCCCTGAAACATTTGAACAGGCTCGAACTTATCTGGAGTCAGAAAATCTCTTAGAAGGTCATAAACTGTAAGTCTCTTCCCTCCTAATTCTTTTCCATTCAGAATGCAGGATTTGGAAGGAATTCGAGATGAACTGATGTTTGAAGTGTATCGACAAAAGTCTATGGAAGATTTAGATGTATGTGCCTTAGTTTTCAATTGCCTTAACTCTCCTTTCTTTATCCATTCTGTAGACATTGCGTGCCTTTTTCCGTGAGCTGGAAAATTTAAATGACACGTTTAGACATAAAATAATTGTCCTTGGATCACGTTTAACTAGTGCAGTAATTACTCACAATCGCTTTGTTGTTAATTGTGTACGTGTTATTGACCGTGAAGAAAGGTAATTTTTCGCGTTTGTCTTGGGTCCTTAATAGTATGTTTAATTTTACTTTGACCGCCAGTATTTCTTGGTATATGGTCATATCGTATAGAGCGACGTGATCTTTGAAAATCCAGTTTGCTAATTAAATCAGTTGCACATCCATATTCATACTGACATTAGGAAAAAGCGAATAGTTTGACGTGACCCTTTTGTCGCATACACACGAACAAATACAGATGAAGACAACTAGTGTAGCAGCAGTCTCTGCATCAGTGGGCCTCAACATACACAAATAAAAGAGCAAAATCCTCAAATACAACACGGAGAACACAAACACAATCACATTTGTTGAAGACGCTCTGGAAGATGTGGAATCTTTCACGTACCTGGGAAGCATCATTGATGAACAAGGAGTATCGGATGCAGACGTAAAGGCGAGGATTGGTCAAGCAAGGGCCACATTCCTACAATTGAAGAACATATGGAAATCGAAACACCTGTCAGTCAAAATTAAATTGAGAATCTTCTTTACGAACGTCCAGACAGTCATACTGTACGGAGCTGAAACGTCGTGAACTACAACAACCATCATCAAGAAAGTACAAGTATTTATAAACAGTTGTCTACGTAAGATACTCAATATCCGTTGGCCGGATACCATCAGCAACAGCTTACCGTGGGGGAAGATAAACCAGCTTTCAGCTGAGGCGGAAGTCAGGAAAAGAAGTTGGAAGTGGATAGAACATACATTACGGAAATCATCGAACTGCATCACGAGACAAGCCCTAACTTGGAATCCTGAAGGAAAACAGAAAAGTGGAAGGCCGAGGAATACACTGCTTCTGGAATTGGAAATAGACATGAGGAGGATGAATAGCAACTGGAAAGAACTGGAGAGGATTGCCCAGGACAGGGTTGGATGGAGAATGCTGTTGGGTGGCCTATGCTCCTCGACGAGAGGTAACAGGCGTAAGTAAGCAAATATTTTAGTCGAGGTTGAACATTTGCCCACGTTTGTAACTGTTTAAATACAGGCTCAATACGACGCAAATCTACTTAATTCAAATGTATATACTCATCTTTGAGTCGTATAATCTGTACGTTGACAATACTATCTGGGGTCCAAACTAAAGTAAGCGGAGTGGAATCCCCACCTGTTGCCTGCTAATCGGAGGGATGTTTCAAAGTACTAAGCGGTTTAATGCAAAATCAGATAGAATATCAGATGTGCTTGTAAGTAACATGCGATGGCATTTTTGTTAGTCTTTCTACTTCGTGCTTCTAATAAATATCGCATATATTAAGTTGATCTTGACCGTTTCGTAAATATATGTCGTCTTTTTTAAATCTAATGTAATAGATCTGACGTTGCATACGTTTTTTCGATCTATAAGTTTGAACAGCGATCCTAGCTCACCAAAGTATCCGACTGTATCTAGCAGTTAACACGTATTTATTAAAGCACATACACTGGAAGAACGGAGAGGAGGTTTAGTGTTGACATCTTTGATACGTTCCACAAAAGCTGAGAGACTAAAAGAAAAACATATTATCAACAGTGCAATTCCTCATTATTCGCCTGACAGCAAATATGTTGTTGACGTTTCAAAACAATCGATAAACAAATGATTCAAAATTTATTACGCTTTACTGATGTGTTGCTAAGAAAAACAAATCTACATACTCAGAGATATTTCACTCTTGCTTTGCCTTGGTAACCATAGTATCTAGAGTTCTCTACATATCACTTTTCCCACAACCTTAATCATAATTCCTTTCGTTTTTACTTTCTACCTGAGTGTTGCTGAGCTAGTTATTTTTATTCCTATGTACCACATAAACTATGACGTAATCTTCAATTTCTGAAAATTCTGTTTTCATGCTCGATAGTGTTCTCTTCTAGAATATTCATATATTTAAAGTATACATGAATAACTCCTTAAACAGTTTATTTTTAATTCTTTCCCAATTTTTGTGCTTAATTTTAACTTACATCTACGCATTTTACTCAACTTTCATCAAAACTTTTTTGATATAAAGTATTGATGTTCATCTTCGTGTACACAATTAGAACTGATGCTAATTGGCGGAAACGATCAGAGAAACATGGTTTTATGCCAGATGGACGACCGAAACAATGGAAAAAGCTGTTATTTGACAGTATATTTAATACTATAAAAAATAAGTGAGTTAAATTAATTCCATGGGGTTTCGATAAAGTCATCAATTTTTGCTACTATCAGTTTGAATGACTCAATCGATCAATCTGTTGGAATATAGACCACTTTAATAATTACTCCCGTATTGCACCTGGTGTGTTCACCGATTGATTTGTATTAAGAATAGTTGCTAACATTTAAATCCAAAATGGACATTTCGTCTTGTTAGAATTTTATCGGCCGAAAGCACCTGGATCTTGACGTTTTTAAACAAACCATCAAACCCAGTACCAATTCACCTTAAATACTCAAATGTTTTGTATCAAGGTATTGAGTTATAATAGCCTGTATTACATATTTGACAGTTATTACTTATTTCTTTAAAATTATATACTTATCTGTTATTGTGGGGTTTTGAGCTGAATTTTACAAACCTCTATCGTTATATGGCCTCATTGAATGTGTGTCTTAGCATTACTGCTTAGATTCACATTTTGGTAATAACTTGCACACTCTGATCCAGGTGCATCAGGCTAAGATCTCAAAAAAATACAAAGTGAATGTTCTGGATCCCTTCGCTAGCCACAACCCAAAGTTGCTAAAACTTGTGGCTAAATGGCAATGTTGAGATAATTTACTGAAGATACACAACAATTAAAGTTGATTAACCATGGTCATAAATGTCAACAATCGGAAAATTCAAATGTCATTCAGCCCCTAATCACTGGTTACGATGACTACACGGACTCCAACCGCGTGGTTCACATATGTTAACATGGATTGACTCAATTGTCATTGAATTAATGGGACAGTCACATGCTTTGATTTAGTCACCCCTAGCTCTCTTCGAGTCTATTGCTGCATCAGATATCTTCCGTCAATACTATTTTCTGCCAGTTTTTCGTCATTTTTCAGCAGAATACGTTGAAGATTTTTTCATCTATTTTAACATAAATAGGGTGTTTGGAAGCGCGCTAGACAATGAAAATGATAAAAATAAATTAGTTCGACACAATGAAGCCATTAGACAGCATACGCTAGCAGATTTGAAAATAGCAAAAGTGAGTAAATGCATTTTTGTTGTATCATACAATGGATTATTTTCTGAAATTACAAAATAGTTTGTCATGTTCTGTACAAAATTCGATAATTTGTGATTGCTTTTTACAGAAAATGAGTATGGACTTAACACAACAATATTTTCGACAAAGTTTAGTAAAGCAACTATAGTAAAGTTAGCTAGGGTCTGGGACAAACGTATCGTTTCAAGTTGCCAATATTGCATGAGGCAAAATTAATACATTATAAAGCAAAATACAGAAAATAATACTAAACTACAATAGAAGTCTGAACAACCCAAAATAACTAGTAAAATTAAAGAATACAAAGTTTGAATTAATGTCTGACTTGAAATTTATAAGAAATTAGATAATGATTCCAGCAACACTAATGTGACTAATCTCTCATCGTTTCATCTGTCATTACATTCAATGTTGCATTCATAGTGGCAATCGGGAGATAACCCCTCTGGATCTAGGTTCCTTATTAGTTCAAATTAGTCAGAAAAGGTATCTTCAATCTGCCCCCAAATGCCCTGGTACGGCCGAGAGTGGGGAGAGTCTGCTCTCTCTCTCTCGAAATGCTCTCACATGGCCACGCGTATATAGCTTCTTCCAGGGAGGTCCTACTCACTGCCTTCTCGTGGCATTAGTGTTGTTTACGAAAATGAGAGGACGAAAAGCGAATGGCCGGCGCTTTAACCGGATTCCAAACCAATGGTGCGTATGGGCTCCAGTATCCTGCGAGAACAAATGGCGTATGAACCAATTGTTGGTCACCGGCTTCCATGGGACTGCATCTCCTTACGATGCTCCACTGCCTTGTGGATCAGACCTTCAGGTCGAAGGCTCGGGGAGTGGCCCCCTAAGATAACCACCTGCTTCGGTTTGGGTACCCGGGCAGTATCACAGCCCTCACACATATCGAATGAGATTTGTGTGACGCATATGTATTTGGTGATTCCTTGTACCAATACCTATGTGTTAAAATAAACAAATAAATAATCTTCAATCTCACAGAAGCTGATACACTCTGTGAGATTTTGGTAGGACTAACAGATTTACATAGGTTCGTCACGGAGTATTTACTGATATCATGTTACTTAGTCTTTAGTACTGGTTGAATCCTATCAATCAAGTCCCGATGCTACCAATTTTCGAAGCGATATTATTTTCACATCGAACCTCGTTGTGTTTTTCTGATTCAATGTTTACTATTTACTGATTTCCGTGGTGTTACTCCATAAAGTCATGATCTGTTGAACTGAGTGGTTTTGGGTAGGTGAGAAGTACTTGTTTGGGGTCCTCTCGGTAACTGCGATAAGTGGTTGGAGGTGTTGGGGTGATATGACTCAGAGTCGATTAAAATGGTTCAGATTCATTCAGTCTTTATCTTCCTTTAGACTTCGTTGTTAAACCATACTGCCCATGTTTTATGTTTTCTTTTTTTTGATACTATTTCTACTACTACTGCTCTATCATTTGTCTTGATAATTGTTATAATTCTATTTTCTTACGGTTAATGACCCAGCTATTCCTATTGCTTAGTATTCTCGGACACCGATTCACTCGACAGAGTCCCAAAATCAGAACACGGTTGAACAGGAAAATGATTATATTCCAAATAGCAAGTCAGAAGCCAGTAGGAAGCACAATAGGGGAAAACGTCGGTATATTTATAGTTTTTACATAAGAAGAATCCAGAATATTCTCCGACTATCGACTAGCGCTGATTGGATAAGAATTAGCCAATCAGCGTGCACCAAAGCAATCATGCATTGAGCATGCTTTAGTCTAGTCTATGTCCCGCTAACACCTCCCCTCTGAGCAGATTCGTAGGATCTGGTGCTAGGGTCCAACTGCAACTGAGTGACTGGCTTGTGCTTTCGATTAGTCCATCGTCTAGGCAATGAAGAATTCTCACTTTTTCCTTGCACAGAGACTGACATGTCTGTTCCCGGCGTTTTGATTTTTCTTAAAAAAAAGTATGCATAACTTTTAATTCTCCGACATTCTCCTCCTCCTCCTCGAAATAATGTTGGGTCCTTATGGCTCCAAATTATAACTAGTAGGACTTTATTTAAACCATGTTTCTCGTATTGACTGGAGAATCCACTAAAAATGACTAGATGATGATGAACAACCTTTGATCTGAGTTCATTATTTTCAAATTCATTATGAATCTCGTTAGCTGATAACGAGTCATTAAGAAAGTCAACGTCTAACAGAATTAGATTAGATTTTTGGCCATCATTCGACTCAGCTGACATATTTCCCTCATTGTTATAAGACGGTTCATCAAAATCATATGCATTATTCTGAGAATCAATATCTGGTACACTGTCATTAGAAATGGGATAAGTTGACTCAATATAAAATTCTGTCTTCCGGTGATTTTGAGTAACATCTGGTACTATTTGGTTCATCGTGTTGCTCCAGTTATTTTTTGAATACGAGTCACCATAGCTTTCTCGACTAATAGCACGTGGACCACAATTTTGTTCGAGCTGACGTTTATTTTCGCAGCTAGACAGTACCAGTAGTGTTTCATTTGATTCTGGACTCCGGGCTTCATCTACAGGACCTGACTCCTGATCATCTGGTATTGTCACAACTTCATGTGCATTCAGCACAGTATTTTCTTGCTGTGAGCCGGACACGTTACAAATATTACGTTCTGATTCAGGTATAAAGGGATTTGAACCCTCCACTTGATATGCTTCTGAAATGTCTGTTACTGCATCATAAACAGATTTCTTATTTTCTGGTCGAGTGAAAAGTGTGCTCAATAGTTGTTGTTGAAAGGCTAACAACTTCTGCTGGTGCTGTAATATTAACCGCAACTGTTCTAAAGAAATCGCCATTTTTCTTTAGTTTTTCCCCGTCGCCACTGTTATAACTCTCTGTTTTCTTACGGTTATGACCCGGCTATTCCTATTGCTTAGTATTCTCGGACACCGATTCACTCGACAGAGTCCCAAAATCAGAACACGGTTGAACAGGAAAATGATTATATTCCAAATAGCAAGTCAGAAGCCAGTAGGAAGCACAATAGGGGAAAACGTCGGTATATTTATAGTTTTTACATAAGAAGAATCCAGAATATTCTCCGACTATCGACTGGTGCTGATTGGATAAGAATCAGCCAATCAGCGTGCAGCAAAGCAATCATGCATTGAGCATGCTTTAGTCTAGTCTATGTCCCGCTAACAATAATCTCATCCCACGGCACCAATGTTGTATTATAGCAACTTGATTCGGTGCCAGTAAGTGTCAGACTTTATGTTACTTATAGCTGCCTGACTCAATTACTTACTTACTTACGCCTGTTACTCCTAACGGAGCATAGGCCGCCGACCAGCATTCTCCAACCCTGACTCAATTACTATCGCTAAAATAAGTATATATATAGTATTTAACATTAAAATATATCACTAAATGTAAATCTCATCTGATCTATGTAATTATTGTTATGATAAATTATGGTAAAATAGATATTGATTGCATAGCACATTCACTAAAAATATTCTCAGATAAATCTTAACTCTGATTTATGTTGTAAAATTAAACACGTATGACCATATTTTGATTATAACTGTGGAAAAGGAACATATCAAGGCCAATTCCATTCTGAAAAGACGTAAGAATGATTAACACAAGAACACATCTATTTCATCTGTCAATTCTGTAATGTTTCTTTTCTCTGTATAATCTGAAATCAGAAAATTAATGACCTTGGCTACAGAATTAGTTTGATTTTTTAGTCTTATATACTTTGTTTTACGTCAATATCATTCAACTATACTTTCTAATCGGTTCCATAAATTATGACCCTTGAATAAATTGTACATGAATTAACTATAAATGCCTATTGAAGAATTCGTTTCAGTGAGTATAAAGATGCTAATCGTTGTTGCAAACATTCCATTTAAAATCCTTTAGGTTATTTAATATTTGAAGGATAGGAATAAGCATCGTTATCATATACGAAATCAATCTTATAAATACATAAACTACAGTCATCACACTGACTAAGGTGTATCAATCTCATTCCCCCCGAATTGCCTCCCATCCGATTTGCTACAATGCACTGATCCTATGTGTGTTTCGACTGTCTGTAACATCGAATTAGAGTCCAGGCTTTTAATTTTCCTTGTAATTTCGCATGTTATCATCGAAACACCTTTTTAGTACCGTCTCCTCATGACTAGTTTACTTTTAGAAAACAAAGCGGAACCACAGAGAGTTACGTTTGATGATTAGTTAAGGTAAAACTAGCTAGAAACACCCAAGCAGTCACTCCTGAACATCCAAGCCAATAAATAAATAAGTATATTTGTAATATCCCAATGAGTAGAAAAATTAGATTTTCTGACGTCTCGTGACTTAGTGCAAGCCACTTCTTCAGAGAATAAATAACCAAATTTGCACTAGTATGCGTTCTAGATTGAACCTGTTTGGGGTGCCATTAAAAACCAGGAGCACTTGACAACTGTTTAGTTCTTTAATAGAACTCCTTAGCTTTACACACTCTTGAAGTCTCCAGAGGTCGAACCAAATAAATTTAGATCTCTCAGTGAACTCCCAAACTTAAAGCCACTGTGATATTCAATTCCAACTTCAATTAGTTCGCGATATAACCCGACGATCATCTATTTTGTTTGGTGTCGACGACTTTAAATGTTATCCGGATTAAGATCAATTTTTAACGAATGGTACCGAATAATTTAGGGAACTTTCACAATTCACTTCAAGTAAACTGTGTATATATTGATTTAAATGTTTACAGATATTTTTTCTAAAAAGTCATTGTAACAAAAAATATTAATATTTATTCCGTAAATTTTCATTTATTTACATGTTTTCCAGAATATATGTCCAACATATTTTCCAGCAGATTATGCTATATTTGATCGATTTGTTGAAATGTATCATGAAGCTATCGGAATGCATGTAAGTTTAAATAATAATAATAATATACATTATGTTTTAATCTATACACACAGGTTGAAAGTTTAGTACTTGAGGGTCTATCTGATACAGAGATTGTACAACTACTAGGTTGGATAAATTCTTATCAGTAAGTTGCTTTGATCTTTACCATCGTTACAAAATTTATTTTTAGTACTGAAGAATTCATGAAAAATCCTTTCATGAATATTGACTTTAATCGATTGAATTTAAGACATCCAATTAATTTGTTACCTGATGAAAAATTAAATTCACTTCGAAAGCAGTAAGTTTTTAATATGATTATAAACTAGATGATCTATAACTTCATTAATAATCTTGTCCTCTTTATTGAGAACACCAACCGATTTAACTTAAAGAACCAATGAAAACTTGGAAACTCTTGACATCTGTTTCATCCTAATATCGGACTCGTCGGTAGTGCACATCCACGACCGTTCCACAGGGATCAAACCAGCATCCTCGGTCGCCCACGCGAACATTTAACCACTAAATTAACTGAGCCTCAATTCATCGGCGTATAAGTTTAACTTCAGTCAATTCGTGAGATTACGTGACCATCTTCCATTGTCTCTTCCGTGCCATATGTGAGGGATGCGTTCTACATTCCAGTGACAACCTTTATCTAACCTTCATATAAATCTGTTCAGGTAGTTTGTCTTTCAGTACTTAAAACTCGATTTTATAGACGGTATGACTACATTTTTTGCGTTAATTACAACCACCGTATTGGTACTAATTCAATAAAACAAGATTTACATTTGTCAAGAAGTTCGTATGAAATTCTTCCGTTATGTGCTACATGCACCAATTATGCGATAATCACATATTCCGTTACTACTAATTCTGTCTTGGAATTTTGTGGGAAAAATTATTTACTCAATGTCCTTGTTGAATGAATAATATCTGCCAGTGAAATTAATGATACACATTTTGTCTCCTTTAAGACTCGTCAATTGCATTTACATATGTAGATACGTTTCATATTAGAAGAGAAAGTACCGGATCGGGATCAAGGAGTGAGCGTCAACATTAGGATTCAGGTACATCGAGCTAACGAGTTCCAAATAGGACAAAATGCATGTCTTGATTTCCACTGCGAGCTACGATCCGTCTATCCTATAAGAGCTTGTTGATAAAGCTGTTATATCAAGCTAGTATACTCTGGATACCCACATTTCAACTAATCGAAATTCAGTCCAACTTTATAATAACCGGATACTTCAAATCTTTCCCAATGACAATGTAATCCTTGTTGAATTTTGTTTTCTTTCTCACTTTTTCAATAGATATGTTTCAAAGACGATTGAACGACTTAAATCATGGTTAGCAAATTCACTCTTAAAGGATACTTCTGTAAGTTTTTCATTGCTGATTTGTTTGTATTTTTATTCATAACTGTATGTAATTGTCGGTTGTGAATTTTCATTTTTCTTATTTGTTCTAGTTTCAAAAATTAGCTTATTATTTCGGTTTATTATCTGTATATATTGATGAAGTTTAGTTAACACTGATCATAGTTAATGCTTCTTTTTATGCCATAGAGTTGTGGTGATGTTTATATACATGAAAATAATGACATCAGTTGTCCAAAAAATATCTCAATTGTGTGTTCTTTAAAACGCCTAAAAATACAAATGATTATTAACGTTTGCTGGGAAATCTTTTGTTTTCCAAGAACTGAATTTAAATCAGCCAGAAAATGGATATTCTTCAATAATCACCATTTTTTAGTTTTTTTAACCTCACAAACACTTGAATCAGACGTCATAAAACTCAGATTCTGAATGACTGGTTTTCAAGGACATCACATAAAATGTAGGAATACCTACGTTTTTCCTCATTTTTCATCGTCGGTTGAACTGGAGACTAAACATTTTTCCCTTTTTGTTTTTTCAATGATTTGATGGCCAGATCAAGCAGTAATGTAACACAATACAAATTCTGTTGAAGCGATCTGCGTTGTTTTTATTCATTCCATTTACTAGCGCATTATTTATATTTGGATACCTAAAGCTGCGTCATAAGTCTTTGAAATACAAATATTTATATTGTAAATCTTCATCTCTCTGCGTCATTTGTTCGATTTTGTGTAACTTGATCGTTATTTCTGAGAGACCTTGGACTTACCAAAAATAGTTTAGTTAAAACTGTGTTGTCTATTTTTCTTAAATAAACTATTTTCTTTGAATTGAATCTAACTTCTAAAGCATCATTGATAAGCTATTCATGTATCATGTTTAATTGATTTAGGATTGGCAACGTTCAACTGGGCCTGAATTAGATGGATCTTCTAATTATTTCACTGATTTGCCTGTATTAGTCATGACACCTATCAATGAAATGGTAAGTTGCTATTATTGTTGCTGTTATTGCTTAACAAGTATTAGGAACTATCAGTAAACGGGATTTTATGTATATCTTCCTAATATGGCTATGACATAGGGTGGATTCGAATGACTTGACCTGACATACATGACATTGGCCATCACTCAGTGACCAGTAAATTGCAAATACATCTCATTCCTGCAGGAGGTCAGTCGTGGCCCGGCTATTTCAGTGGTAATGTCCTTCACCGCGAAGCTGGATAAAAAACTATCGAATCCTCCAGGGTGCATCAATCCCCTCAATGTCAGAGACATGCCTTGCTAACGAGTGCCAAATAAAACGAAATCTAGGTCACGTAGGGTCTCTTGCCAACTACCTCTAACCACTACCTTACAACTTTATCTCTCTTTATATACTGAATCCCAATATTCCTTTACACGTACGTTTACATTCTTTCTTCTCGGGCCATATTCTCAATGTTAAGTCTTTATCATCGTTCCTACTGTAATTATTTCGGCTTCTTTAATATTCATCTCTTTGATTTCGTCTCATTGGATTAATGTGGTTTATGGCAACATTTTGTCAGATTTCACGTAGATTGTGATTGACTAACATCTTCGTAAATCTGGTATTGCCAAAATCCTCCTAGACATTGGTTTCCAAGAATCTTCACGTGTTTTTTTAAAAGAAGACTATAAACAACCAATGAATTGCTGCCAAAATGTATGATTATACTTTGAAATTAATCGACGGATTTCTCTTCATTGTTCATAATCTATAGCTGTAAAAACTTTAATCGTCTAACTTAAATTCAATGTCTTTTTGTAATGAATACATGTTAAAATACAAGATTTCCTGTTTTATCTATGGGAGAACAAAGAGCGTAGCAAAAATATGATGAATTCATTTACTTGGTGTGGTTTCTCTTCAGCGGCTTACAAACTAAAAACAATTATTTACAACTAATATACATACTTTATTTCATATGAAGGATGATCAGTAGAATAATGCCAACAATTATAGAACGAACACTAAATTGGTAAGGGGGATGAATATTTATATATTACTAACTGAAAATTTTAGAAAAAAATTTCAAAACATGCGAAGATACGTTTCTAAAGAATGAAAGTTGATGTCAAAATTACTCAAAAACAGCCACAAAATTTGATAGATTAACAGAGTAAGATTGATAAAGCTCAAAAATGACACAGGAACGAAAGAAAGGGATTTGTTACGAAGTGGAAGACTTTCAAACGTTCCACCTTTTTTGTGGCCATGGTCACCAAACATATTCGAAGTTGTCCGGTCATGAATTTTGAACTATTTTAGAACATCAACATCATGTCCGCTGTCAAGAAAATGATGGAATGAAAAGAATATTGACCTTTTGATCCCATTTTTGTGAAATGTGCCCCTAGACGCGAATAAGAATCCCTGTTTTCCGTTCTAATGTAAATGCCGTAACACAAGCATTTAAATCAATTAATACATTTGAAGGTAGCACAAGGTGGGAATTTTTCTGCATCTATCGACATAACTCAGGTCAATGATCGGTGTCCTCATTTTATTACTTGTGAATATTTCACAATTAGTTGAGGTCAGTGGAAAGATTTGAGGCCATCGACTGCTGTACAGTTGCAGTAACACAGAGCACTAAATACTATTTCATTTATAGTTCAAAACAAAAGATATTGATCAATACAATATCAGCGCAATGTCTACACGAGCTAAAGCATAACATAGTGCCGCTTTTGTGATGTCCACTTGGTCTGGGCAGGAACCGATCCTATTGTGTTAGGCTTATTCGCTTGAGACTATTAACCGAACCATTGAACTATTTCCCACACTTCAACCAAAAACCAATTGAGAACACCGAGTATTCCTAAGCAAAGTGTATATTATGCAGTATTATGATAAATGTAAGAGCCATGGAAAGTTTCTATTACAAGTCACATGTTTCTGACTATCCACCCATCTGTTTAGAACATCAACTAATCACCTTTGAGTTTCACCCACACAACAGCCGCCTAATGTCTTTCACTAAAATTGTGGATAATCTTTCAGATGCCTCAGAAGCTTGAACTACAGAATAAACTATATTTTAATCCACTACATTGTTCAGTAATTTTCTTCGACAAAATTGGATTAGTTTACAATATCAATTGGTGGGTAAAGATTTTATACTCTAAAGCAATATTTATTGATATTTTTATGTTGTGCTGCATTGACGATCTTATTGGGAAGAAAAATTTCTCCACTCAATTTGCATGTTGTTTTTCTTAAACCTATTTTTGCACAGATTGGTAAAGGTAATTTATTGCATTATCTGGGCAATGCTGTAAGAGAACAATTTTTTACTCAATGTGTTGAAGAGATGGCGCTTTTCGTGAAAGATTACGATGGTAAGGATTCTGTTTCTTTGCTTAGTTACCTTATTTACTGTTGGTTGTTCGATAGAGATCTGTAGTAAATTCTTGCTTTATCAATTTAGGGTTGTGGAGATTGTTGGGTTTAAATTGATATCATGAATGAATCAATTTTAGACTACCATTGAAAACTTGGAAGCACTAGATGGCCGTTTCGTCTTAGTATGGGGCTCCTCAGTAGTGTGCATCCGCGATTCCACCTGCGGGACTCGAACCCAAGACCTTCAGTCTTGCGCGTGAGTGCCTAATCTCTAGACCACCGAACCGCCATCCAACGGCGTCAATGTCTAACTTCAACCGATCCACGATATTGCGCAACCATATATTGGTAGATTTTTCTTAAGCTATAACCAGATACGATCTATCCATCACTGCGTTCTGAATTTCGCTCAAAAATCCAACTGCCTCTGTCTTGAATCTGATTGGTCCGTCGGCTAAGTATATTTTTATTGTACAATGAAATAAATGATATTTATTTTGTTTTAGTGCCTGTGATATAACAATGATAACTTTCATGATGAAATCACTATAACCCAGATCATACATGTTCATGTCATTAGTTTTGTCGCACATATGCACACACTTGAGTGTATAAATGATACACTATTCAGTTTCCCAAATGCTATTAAGTAACTTGACATGTTTTAATGTCCAGTCTTACCACTTTGACGTTAGTACTTAATAATGCACCATAGCTTTCGTTTTGTATCCTATATTGTAGCTCCACAAACTATACTACCCATCGACTGGATAATGTTTGCATAGCTTAATACTGCAGTGTACATAATTTCATTTTGTTTCATATAATTTTTTGTACCTTACATGCGCATTGGTTATTAGATGATATTAAAAAGTACCGAGCAGCCTACATACAAGACAGATCGAAATTTCCATGCTATATAGAATACATTGTAAGTATTCCTTGATAATTCCAATCTTTGTGTATTATTATTATTATTATTATTATTTAATTCGTTATACCTAATTTTGCGATATGCATGGTAATGACGTTGATATTGGTCGCACATGTATGCATTAAGCTATATGTAACATTTATCTGTCTGTTTCTGTTTATCTCACTGAGCCATAAACATAAGTAACATATGTGTAGATTTGAAGAAAAAATAGGTATGTAATTTTCACTTAAATGTCAAGTATTTTAAAAAAAACCTCCAGGACTTCTGTACCTTTATTCACTTTTTGAGGTAATGAACCGTTAGGAATATTATTGGAAAATTCTTATATCTAACTAGTTGTGTGAGTACTGGTGGCAATGTACTAATTTTTAAATAATGAATGCTAAAATGACTTATGTCAATCCGGGTCATATTTAACCTCCTGATGTATTAAATGATTCGAATTAGATGGAAATAGTTTCAAACTCACAACACCGTGGTTAGTAATAATAATAATAATAATAATAATAATAATAATAATAATAATAGACTGACCTACTGCAGTCATCGGGAAAGTTCAAATGATCAATGCATATCAGTTAAACCTTACTCTGTTGCACAAGCCAGTAGTTATCTGGATTCAGTAGTTAAGTGCATAATGCGATGGCATGTGAAGCAAATAGAGCTGAGTTCGACTCCTGGAATGCACATCAACTCTGGGATGCAGGTACATCCAGTTGACAAGTCCTAAATAGGATGAATTCCGCTTCCTAAATTTCAATGCTAGCCATCATCCATTCCTGTTTATAAGGTAAGTAGCTTAGTAGCAATGTCGAGACAATCCACACAGGATGCACATATTCGAAAAGCGACTAAGCAATCGCAGTTCTGAACATCAATGGTAAGATTCAAACAACCATTAAAAATGTATTTATTTATTTATTTGAACACATAAATATCGGTACAAGGGGCATCGAATGTATATGCGCCACACAAGTCACTTGATTTGTGTGTAGGCTGTGTTACTACCCGGGTGCCCAGACCGAAGCACAGTCAATACAAATGAATAATCATAGTAATTGCTTTAAGTAGTATTGCATATTGAGTACAGTATGATATTCTCTTATGATTCTCGTATGATATTCTTTTATTAGTTGTGAGTGACTATCATTTCTCGAATTAGTAGAATTCATTGCAAATAAAAACATTTCGATAACAATATAATAAGTTAGGACGAATTCTAACATTTTGATGAAATACTTATTAATAATTTATTTAAAGGCAATGCTGAATGCTAGAGAAAAAAATCTCATTCCGTCCAAATGTACACCTAAGAACAGCAATTTTCTACCCGAGCTTCACGGTTCAATAGGCTAACCACTGTCATTATAACAGTTACTTCCTTTTAATCATCTAACTTCTTTTTTCAATATTTGTTCCAGTTAGCCAATGCAAATGGTGCATGTATGATTGCGCATAGTTTTGTCACAGTAATTATGGATGAATTGACTGAAGATTCACATCTTAAAGGGAATCTGACAGCTAGGATTAGTCATTTGAAATCAGAATATGAAAAAGTAGCTGAACAATGGTGAGTGTTTGTTGTTTCATCTGTTGGCTGAATTCTGTTATGAGTTCTACGTGGGACTCATGCTAAATATCATGTAAGGTATCCGTGAACTAATCCCTTACAAGTCACTTATCATTACTATTTGCGTGAATTTTAAAATCTGGTATCCTATGAAATATTTGAAAGGTATCAGTCAGTATTTGGTCATTGAATCTCATATTTAGTTTAATTTAAAACTTTTCATCGGGACTAAAACTGTTATGATCCCGTTAACATTGGGTGGATATCGCACATTGTATTATGAGTTAACTGAAGCTAGAAATATAGATCATTTGATTCTAACTCAGCTGTTCTAGAGCGTCGTGTTATATGAGACTTGCATCGTAACAGGTAACTTGGATGCCAAACTGGGTAGGCTAAATCAAATTGAGAGACAATTGAGTGAACCTTTTGATTTCTCAATTCAGTGAACAGGAAACGAAGACTGTCTGTTGCTTAGATGATCCTTTATTTCTACCAACCACCATTTTTAAAAACTCGAAAAGTTCTCGTCTGACACTGATTTCAAGAATTAACTGGACGATGAACGAAAATGCACAATATTACCACTGGCCATCTCTAGGATACCTCGATTAAAACATTTGCTCTGTCCGGAACACATATTGGGTTCTGACCACTCTCTGGTGCAAGTACGCGTCCCCTCTGAGCCTTACTGAACGCAGAAAAGTCACAACGTGGAAAGCTTTAAGAGTTCAGCTCAACAATAAGCATATTTCAGGGACAACTAAAGAAGAACAATTACGAAAGTAATGCTCACGCCGATGTAGTTTAATTCACAACTAACAGTGTTAGACTTGAAAGTTCTAGGTTGTATTCGACGTACAGAGAGAGTCATGAGTAGGCACTGATCTGAACCTTTAAAACTAGCACAAGACAAGTTAAAGGTATGCTCCCTAATTTTCCAGCTAATTTCTGTCTTTAACGAGAAGCTTCTGCAATTTTTAACTATCAATACAGTATCTGTGAGATTTCACCAAAATTGTTTTTATTTCACACAAACTTTGTAAAGATTATATCGTTTTCTCAGATAAATAAACTGGTTGTGGTTTGTTCTTTTCTGAGAGTATTTACTTATCGTACACTTGATCCAATATGTGATGTCAGTTTGTTACGACCTTAATTTATCTGCTCACTAGTCTGTGCTTAGTATACAGCGAGAAAGAGTTATCTCAATCTAGTTTACGGATTTGATATAATGGGCTACTTAGCAATACCTTAGGACTTGCAACGCGCTAGTTCAATGTGTTTGTGAGCGGCCTTGGAAGTAACAAAAGAAGAAACCATTCTACATTGACTAGTTGGCAAGCAGAGAGAGAAAACGACTTACCTGAAATTGTATATCTGACTTATTTCTGATCCTATCAAGGTACATGAGTAAATATCTAACAGAAGCATAACACAAAAGGAACGAGAAAAATACAGTTACATCCAAACTATAACATTAAAGTAGACAAAATGAAATCCGAGGATCACGTTTAAATTACAGTGATTTTGAGATGGAAGAGAACATGCCAGTTATTTAAACTATAAACGAAAGCTTATGATTCGTAGATTAAAGTAGGCTCTATACTTTGGATTAAGTGCGATTAGGTCCCGAGAAATAAATTACGTTAATTATCATTGTTCCGATATTCTTTTTTTCACGTCAGATGTTTTCTTATGCTTATTATCTTAATTGTTATGCTATAAAAATGAATTCATATTATTCTGTGTCAATATTCGTCCTTGTTTTACTCAAATTCGTCAAGGAAGCCAGTTGTATGGTATTATCTATAAACACTTCGATTATTTTAATGATTTTAAATCTTCAGTCGACAATTTATCCTTATCTAACGAAATTTTCCTATATATATACATATAATATTTTATTATAGGATAGCTTATGCTGAAGAAACCGTATTCATGGATTTAAATCGTGTACTAAGCGTGATTATGACATCTCAATGGTGAGTGCATATGTATATATGGAGTTAGCAAAATCGTGTTTCATACCTATTGTAGAAATATCGATGGTTTAACACTGAACACTTTACCCAATACTATTTGCTTCAAGCTCCATCGCGTTATCCATTTAGCTACGGAGTCCTAATAGCTAGGGTTCGAGTCCCGGAGTGAATGTTAACTCTGGGATGCATGTACATCCAACTGACGATTCCCAAAATGGGACAGCATGTGCATCCTGGATTCCACTTTTAGCCACTATCATCTCTGCTTATAATGCTTGTGACTTAAAATAACATGGAGGCAATCCGCACAGGATGCACGTATACCAACAAGAGACTGATCATTTGCAGTCCTAAACATCCATAGGAAGATTCAAACAACCAACACGAAAACGAATTATATTGCTTAACATTCAGGTGCACAAACTAAGGCATCATCATGTACCATTATCATTTTACAAAATATGTAACTGGTTATACTTTTTTACATATCAATACCGAGGTGACATTTGTCAAATGAACTAACAGCTTCGATCGATTTATTGTTTGTTCATCGATTACCTACTGGATAAGTATTGATCTCCGTTGAAATCACATACTGATCATAACTAAACCACTATTGAAAACCCGGAATCACTGAACGGCCGTTTATTCCTAGAACTCTTAAACAATGCGCATCTACGATCCCGCACGCGAACGCTTAATTTCTAAACAACTGAGCTGCCATCCTACAGTGTTGACGTCTAAATCCAATAAATCCATTTTCTTTCTCAACACTTCATCCATTGCTTGTTGTAGATAACTGTCTTACACACGACGTGGATTAAAATTAATTGGTCACAGCTTCTGACTACAACTCCGGCAGTTACGTCTTGAAGTTAGTCGCTAGTTAGCACGTGGTTTTCTTAGTATGCGGGATTTGTGGAGATTGTAGTTTTTCCAGCGTTGAAATCGCTAACCCATCCTAGCTAGACCGCCATTAGAAATCTAGACGTTAACACCATTAGATGCCGGATCAGTAGTTTAGGGGTTAGTGGTTCGAACACGAGAGAAAAGGTTCTGAGGCTAATCCTTTGTTGCGGAGTCGTGGATGCCTATTGCTAAGGAGTCCCATACTAGTACGAAACGGCCGCCCTGTGCTTCTAGGATTTCAGTGGTGGTCTAGCTAAGAATGGTTCATGTTTTCAACGGTAAAAATAATACAATCTCCACAAATTCTGTATATTTAATAATAATCTGACTATAGAATAATGTCATTTATACTTCTCATGGTTGGAACTCAGTGAATAGTTTAGCTTGTCATGTCTTGTTGCAGACTTTCGTCTCATTCGCCGGATTAGAGGAATAGTAATTTCTTAAAATGTAGCTTTAGTATGTATTGTTATTGTATATTAGAGTAAAGCCTAATGAGAATCTTACTGAAAATAATATTGTTCGCTTATATATGTTGTTCCGATTCACATTATTTAGTGTCAAGGTCTTGTAAACAGCAATTTTTGTTTACGCTCTGTTACCCCATCCAGATAAATTGTTTAGTATGTTTCTTACTTGGGACATTGTTATTCATTTCTCTTATCGTTCTCTTTGGTCACTCCCCCCAATACACTTAATCTGTATGTTTATTATTATTATTATTTTACAAATTATTGAAAACAGGCTACGCCCGGATGATATGACAACACAATATCTGGTTGGTACATTAGCCGATTATGATGAAACATTGAAGCATACAAGACAAAATTTATATGATAAATTAGCTGAAAAATTGGCTGAACGAATGTTAATTGAATACTTGAAAGCATTAATAAGCCGGTATAACAATTATTCATAATCAGTATGATTTGTTATCAATGTTATTTCAATTATAGTTGTTATATTAACAATTTACTGCATATTCTCTTCAATAAGTACACAAATTGATGTCATGCGAACTCTAATATAATTTAGGATAATATTCTTATCGCCTTACGAAATAATTCTCATTTGTAAAACAATATACTTGTCCTATGTGCTTGTCCACTGTCCTGAAAGTCTCTAAAAACCGTGATAAGTTAAGTTATTCGGCTGCCTCAGTTCGGCGTTTGCTAGAATCATTTAGACATAATATTTTCAAATTCAACTCATTAGTAATTATCTGGATAAAGAGTCAGTAATTAGAAAGCATAAGAAACCCTAAAGCGTTCAGTATTTTTTCTTGATATAAATGATCGAGAACTTTCCTAACGTTGTATTGTCCTTGTTATCCTCAAAGGTCTTAACGAAACTCTTGACTTATAATTTTCGATTATTCTGCACTAATACTAATAACATGGGGAGATAGTTTAACAGTAGACTGTCGACAATCCACTGAATTATCGCAAATATAATGAGTTAACAGGTGTGTAAGAATAATCTTAAAATATCTTGCTGTTCACATAATACCTGGATCACTTTAAATTATCTGGCAGTTCAGTATGATTGTTTTTCAAAGAAAATTTATTGACCATTTTATAAAATACTAAATATGTTCTAACAGTGTCATTTATACCAATGTCTATAAAAATGCAAGTAGGATGAGTACAATTTTCATAATAAGTAAACCTCTCTTGAAAATGTTTACCGGTTTAACAGTAAGCATCAACTAAAAAATAGGTTTTGTTACATTAATTTGATAAAGGTAATGGAGGAGGAAAAGAAATAACAACTGAGGATTTAATTAGCACATCATAATGTACCGATAATTAATATGACGAATAACCAGCAATATATCAGTCAATTAGCGGAATATAAAATTTAAACAAAGCACAGAATATGTTGAACTTTGAGCATTTCATTATATTGTCAAACATAAAATGGAAATGAAATTTTCCATTATATATGTTTATTTTGATCTTATTGTGCATAGACGAAGTCCGCTTTCTACAGAATCTGATAGAAAAAAAGCTGGTGAGAAAATCACACGAGATGGACATGATTTAAAGAATTATTTTGAAGAGAAGATGAAAGTGAAAAGTGAAGTAAGTAGATTTATGTTGATTAATAACTAATTTATCATTCAGGATATGGGGTATATGCTGTATATTTTTTTCAAAACAAAGCAAATATGCCACAATTTAGAGTGTCACATTAAATAAAATAATTTTCGTTGCTTTTTATGTAATCTGACCTTAGCTGCTATCTTAACATGGTGGTTATACTTTATGATGACTGGAACATTTATTCCTTTAGATCTTACTTTTCCAGATATATCTGTTGAGGAACTGTAAAACTAGAAAAAATGTGCTAAAGTCCTATGGCTAATTCGTACTACTGGCTGTAGTAGTATGTGTTGGTAGTACGGTATTTTTCTTAGACATCCAGCATCTACAGCGGTGCTGCAGGAGGGAGACAGTTAAAAAGATCGACCGTAATAATAGTATACTTCACCTTAATCCTCGGATAACCATCAATTGTGTTAAGGCTTTAGATGTAACGAGTTAACTCACCTAAAGCTCCTCACATTAAAGCCTTGTGTAGCCGTCCCCAACCCATTGTCTCTTGAACTGTGCTACTAAGGCCACCTCTAACCCAGTATTTTTTCAGGCCCCTCAAGAAGAAGTTTCCCTCTACAATGGGACAGTTGGAAAATGACAGACACCTACATAATATAACCGTTTTGTATGAAATACGAAAATATCGTAAGTATTGTATAATCTTATGGTTTACAGAAACGACTGATTCACTTACTATCAGTAAAATATTCATATTTTTAAACTGCGTGGTAAAGATCTCTTGTCAACTTCATCATAGCGTTTTATTCATTCACCGAAATTCAGAATAGTCAGAATCGATTACTATTATTTCGTTTCTACAATCAATTTACGACATTTCAACTACGTACATAACATAACATACCAGTCGGTAATTCTTAGTAATACGTTTGACCAGTAAAGTAGACTCCAAAAATTACTAAAGGAACTGAGTACATTTGTTGTGTGGATAGGATGCAATCTTAGTTCTACGTTTTGTTGTATTTAAGACTCGTCATCTAGGTGTATCTGCTTTCCAACGTTAATTTTCACGGTGAGTCTTGAACTCAGTATACTTCGTTTCAAACTCGTCTCACTGTGAACATCAACACTGGAGAAAGGATATATCCAGCTGACAATTCTCAAATAGAATGAGATTCCACTGCTAGCGAAATACCAAATATACTAAAACACAGAACATCTCTATTTCGAGGCAATCTACTTATCATTTTCAGTCCTGATTCTCAATAACGGGAAGTTCGGGACCATCCTTACTATAAATATTTTCACAATTAGGTAACTGTAAATCTATGAACTCAGTAAATAGTATTTATTTAGCAAATATTGCAGGACATATATCTCATATATTTCTTATAAACAATTTTAGGTAATTGTGGCATACGACGCTTTAACAACTATCGGTCAGTTGTTCCTTACAACTGATACATCAATGTTACCCTTGGATATTGCTGTAAGTGTTTGTTTGTTTATATGAATGGATCCATTTTTCTTTTCTTATTAATTAACCAACAAATTATGTTCAAAATTTTGCTTTTCGTTGTAAACCTGCTATTTTAGTCAACATTTCTAAAATGTTAGCCTATTGCAATAACCATAGCTCATTGTTAGACTAATGTTGCACATTAGTTCCACTGCATTTTTATGCTGCTTACATCTACCGTGTGGTTAATACTTATTTTTGTCAAAATTCAATTATACATTCGCATATGTTATATAAACCAACCACCTTAGGTCGTACGTTGTATAATTTTTATTATACTGAACATGCTTAATATGTTATTAAAACGGTATTGTAATTGATAAGTGAATGAAAATCATTTGTCGAAATAACTATTTGTAAAACAATTTGTAAAAAATATTTTTTTCAAATACACTAAAATACTTGTGTTAAGTACGTGTAAACAAGTCGTAAAGGTAGACCTTTATGAATCATTCTGCGGCGGATAATATATATAAATGATTAGCCGCTGACATATGCTTCACTGTTTATTAATTATTTATCTTTCACTCAGTTTTGTGTCACATATAACCGTTGGGTGTCAGGAAGCTGCTCATCAAAGACAGTGAAGGATAGATCGAAGTTAGACTTGTACACCATTAGATCCCGGCTCAGTGGTTTAAAATCTTTATGTTCGCACTCGATACTGAAGGTCCTGAATCCGATCCCCTATTGCGAGGCCGTGGATGCGCGCTGCTGAGGAGTCCCATAAAAGGATGAAATAGGTGTCCAGTGTCTCCAGGTTTTAAACGGTTGTCCAACATTTTCCACAACCTTGTATTGACGTATAGTCCAATTACATACGAATTGTAATTTTTTGTTTGTTCTGCGTCGTGGTCATGTTACTAATCAATTTCATCCTATGAGTTTGATCGTTTGTGTCATTGGCTTAAGCAAGGTTCTTTGGTCCGATAGACGTAATGCAAACTTACCGTTAGTGGACTCAATAATTAAGTAGTCGAATTGAGTAGGCGTATGGAGGTTGATGTCATAACTTATACAAAATGTATCCAATGTAGTTGCTTAAGACGAATAATTGTAGGATAAGAATCTGTGTAGATCATTCACCAGTAAAGCACATCATACATTTATCCTATTTTATATACATCAGTAGAAAAAAGTTTAAAAGCATAACAAATCTACGATGAATTCTATCATTAATATCTCATGAATTATAGAAAAATCATATCAAAATCATCAAATAAATATTCTTTTAAAGATAGTTAGTCATGCTAGTAAGAAAATTGGTCCATTATCCATCAGTAATATTTTAAAAAATACATTTTCAGAGACGTCTGATCATTTTAAATACATAAATTTTCTCATCTGTTACTTACTTTCTATAATACTAGGTTATAATTACCGTGCTATGATACTCATCTCTTTGTGTCAGAAAATAGAGTCTCTAGACTTTAAAGAGTCTACTAATAATGATGAGTTAATTTACGCGTATCAGACCTATATCATAAATCACCTCCGACACATAATGTCATTGAGTCTTTTAGAATTTATTTATTAATATGTGTGTATGTGTATTGCTTCTAGAATTTGAAACGTCAATTTCCTGATGTTCGTTCCGATCAAGTTTATGCCTTGCTTGTTGCTCGTGGAGATGTTACATCTGACAATGCTAAAGGAGTAAGTTTCCAAGAAAAATAAAGAGCTCTTCAATAATTAGAAGTATTCAATTTTTCTTGGGGGTTGTTTTTATTTTAGATTCGATTGTAGTTGGCTGCTTCTCACTGTGGCTAAATGTCATTTTATCGAGGTTGTATGGTGAATAACTGTGGAACCCAATAGACGCGTTTCACCCCACTCGAGATTCATCAGCTGGATGTTCCTGCATCTCTCAGTGTTGATGTTCACATGGAGATTCGAACTCATCACCTCTCAGCTTAAGTACCATCATTTTATCCACTGAGTTGCTGATTCCGATTTCTTACCAGGCCTCTCTAATAGGATAAAACGCACCTCCTGCATCCTATCTTTACCCATTATCCAACTTTAATAAAAGCCTGTGACTAAATGACAGTATTGGGAAAATCCGTTTACGATGCACATATACCAATAAAGACTAAACAGACAATTATTAACATTGATAACGGGAGAAGGAAAACCTGTACAAGTTAGATGATTAGTCAGGCTTACCGACTTATATAGCTCAATCTTCAAAATATCGGGTATTAAGAATCACAGTATGTCCAAAGTCATTTAAGATTGATTTTCAGTTTTATTTTCATTAACCAAAGAATTCTTTATTTTTCTGGGACTTAATATTCTGAGTACAATACGCTATTGAAAATAATATCCTCCTAGAAAAACTCATTAATATTCCGAGAATATTCTTCAAACTGGTAACACAATTTCAAAGCTTTGTGATAGTTTAAACAGCTTTATTTAGTTTCTCGTTAGATTTTGAATTGTGTTGCCATCGTATCCCAAGTGTCTTGGATAATGGCTTCCATTTCTTGCGATTCACAAAAGTTCAGCTAATTCTAAGGTTACTCGCTCGACAATCGCAACGGGAACGAGAATAACTCTACCTGATACTACTCCATCATTCGGAACTTCTAGATACAACTGAAGTGTTCTGCAAAGTTACAATACAGTTGCCAAGTAACCGACAGCTTCTAATCTTTATTAATATAGCGAAAGTTCCCACTGATGCAATACAACTCTCACGAACCAACAAAACGAAACGATGGCTACCCAACATGCGTCTAAACTCTCAAGTTATCGATGGTGAAACTACGCAACCGAAAACAGAGATTGAGTGCTTTATTCTTAGCCTTGTGGTGCATTGCGAAGAGGATAGGGTTATAGAAAAGAAACAACAAAATCAGGCAAGCTACAGGCACAACCACATACATAATGTGCAACTACTCACTCCAATGCTGTCTACTTGACAAATTGATCCAAAATCGTGATGCACTCCTTATTGCTAGCTGCATTTTCCTGGGATTCATTAGATGACAATCGGCTACGGCTAAGAATTAGTTTCTACACGTTTCTTCCACTTTTAGCTTATCTAACTTCGTGGTTAGACTCTTATTACTTTGCAATCGTATGTGAGTACTATCATAACCAATTTTCGTTCCGAAAACCTCTGAGCTTCAGTAATGTTGCATTCGATTGTTCAATAGCTTGACCGCTTTTGTCAGGCATTTCCTGGATACTCTGACAGGTGGGGTGAGTTCGCGTGTTTATCCATACTCGGAAGGTTCGGCCTTCCTAATATCAATTGATAGTCAGTGAGTACCGATAAGACGAAGATTCCGTACTAAACCACAAATGCTCCCGATTCCCGGTTAAAACCCAGTGTTGAGTAGTAGTAATAATTCTTTTCTGGCATGATCAGGTTGATACAAATTGTTAGTTAAGACTCAATTCACTTAATCTGAATAAACATGGATTCCAATTAACTTCCAGGACGAATTTAAATTAGTGAGTATTGAACAATGAGAGCTGTGGGGAATGTAAATAAGTAAATCAGTATTAGTACTTTTTACTCCGTAATGCAACGTGGTGTAGGCTACCAGTTGAAATTCGGGGAACAGGTACTATGAACCACTTCACTCGCGATATAAATGGACTCCTAAGTGACTATAGGACACTGCTTAAGCCACCTGTGTACTTAGACTTTATTTCTTTTGTAATTTTATAACGCAAAAATATATTTACGTACTTACTATTATACTTAAATAAGTCTACTAATCACTTTTTAAGTACTTGTCTTGTGGTCGCGTTAGAAATTATCTGACTATATTCGATACCTGACACAGAGTGTAGTCCATCAATATCAGAAAGATGTTCTATTTAAATAAACAAAGGTATACTGTGCAATACAGTATAATAAATATATAGAGCGATCTACGAAAACTGTATATAGTTCTCTGGTCACTTCTTGTTTGGCAATTTTTCTGTTGTCGATAGATATGTGTCATAACTTAAAAGAAACCTATTCACAACATAATATTAAATATAACGATAGGTAGAGACCGTATTTCAGTCTACTAAAACCGTGGTAATAAATTAAGCGGACCCTTTTGTTTTGGTGCTTGCCTTGTTCTCATTTTACAGTATCGTTTTCTTGTTCGTTGGTCAAATACTGTCCTTTAAAATAAATATTTCCAGCTTCAGCACTTGTCCGCGCATTCTAGCAAGTCATACTTGTAATTTTTAGGAGTTTAATCTTCCGCTGAAACTGGCACATGTAGTTCGTGACTGACGAATTCCAGAATTAGGAAACAGGGGAGCAATATATTTATTACTGTTCAGTAATCAGTTGTCTCATTCTTTTATTTTTTGGTTACTCTTTTTATTATGCTTGCTTTCACTTTGCATTCAAAGTCTTTGTACTCATTTACTTTTTGGTTGAGTGGATCAGACTTATTTCACAAATCCTCCGGGGTAATTGTCACTATATCCGGTCGAGTCTCGAACAGAACGAAAATTACTGTATTCTGGTATCCGAACCCATGCTCAAATGTATTTTCATTTTAAAATATATGATGTTAAATGTTGAAATTTATGCCTTTGTGTTAAGTTATGAAAGCGTTATTATAAATTCATATTACTTACAAGTAGTATCATTTCACTTCGAGACTATTGTGTGAACTCGAATTTTTCAATTTTATCTAACCGTGACACTATGATTTATTTTCTTAGCTTTCGGCTGACTCTCATTACGGAAGGGAATTGTCACAGAAGCCATCACCGTTCGCAATTTTCACACGATTAGTCGTCGCAATGGACACACATTAGTGCTCACTTTCTGGCCGGAAAAGAAATAATCTAAAATTGATCAATTTCGTGACTTTTTCAATCCCATTATTTTTATCTTTATAATATAATCACTGAGTTACTTTCTACATTTTGTTTATTTGTCTTTTGCTTCAGTTAAACCCTTAAATTAAAACAATCAAAAGTTTATATTCTAACCATTTTTGTTTAATTGAACGGAATGTCGAAAGTCACATCTGCAGTTCTATTTTTGTACTATGTCATCAGTAGATCTAACATAATAATGTAAGTATTAAGTGCGACTTGACTTACGGTGATAAATTATTAAATTGATTTGACATACATGGCCCTCATACCAGCAGGGGGGACGAGTTTATTTGCATAACGATACAGTATACACCACGAAAACTGGGATGTTCGAAGCCATATTTGCGCATTGAAAAGGAAAACTGGTTGACTAAAGACGCAACTGGCATTCTAGTTCCGTCATGATTGCGAGTAGCTCACATTTGATTATAGTCGACGTAGACGTCAGGGGCCTGAACTTCATATCACATAGCGTCAGAAACCTCATGTCGTAATTCGTGTGAAGTAAGAACTTCTTGTGGAATTCAATTGAGAAGCATTAGGACTAGAAGTATAGAGCGTTATGAGTCGAAATTTGTTGCAAAAATAACTAGTAGAAAATAAGTAGTCCTTTAAGTCTTAAAAGTCAAAGCTGACCTCATTAGTTCTACTGGACTCATACTTGGAGATCCCAATCGCCTAAGCATCCACATCAGATCACGATTGTTTATCCCATGCTACTACTAGCCAAACGCAACTCCATATATCGATAGCATTCCAAATAAACCTCCTGATAAGTCTTGCGAATTGAACGCTATAATCGTTTCCTAAGCTATTCTGTAACCCCCAAGCTAGAACTATATAGCGACCTGAACACAAGAGAGAAGACGCAAAGTATGCGAGAAAATACTTTACTCCAAGGTTCATTTTTGTACAGAAAGCACGGGTATTTATAGATGTTAACATTTGTTAAATCAACATCATATCTTAGGCAATCCGCTAAAAGACATGTCATACTTCTGACCAATAGTAACACGCCACGTTGATATTCCAGAAAGCTCCATCATGCTCTGATTGGCCAGGACACTTCGGTTCCTCTAGAGGCTCCGTTGTAGTTGTCCGAAAGTCGATTCAACACCTCCCCCGAATAAGATTTCTCCCTAGGATCTACTTGTAGCGTGACATCTGGGTTGTGGCGGCGTCCCATTATTCTTTTCGTCTGCCTTTTCCGAGGCTTCTTTTCAGTGTCCTTGGGCACATGTAGCGTTGGTGTGTCTATGATAACTCCAACAGGAAATTTGGCCGGTTTTTTCTAGTCTGCATCGTTCTTTTTTCCTTATGGGTTTGATTCGTATGTCGTATACGTGTCCCAAAAGATCCTCGGACTCTGTGCAGGACGTTTCCCGATTTTTGTACAACTTTTCCCGGCTCCCATCGGTTCTTCCCGATGTAGGATTTAATGAAAACTTCGTCGCCAATATTGAAGCTCCGGACATTTGGATTTTGACTGTGCCCATCCACTAATTTGGATGGCAACATGGCATTGAAAACGATCCGATTACGCCTTCCGAACATGGCTTTAGCAGGGGACTTACCATACGGAACATTTGGGTTCGGAGTGGCTCTGTAGGATGTTAAAGATTTGTGACTACCTGTTCAGTGGTCCCTTCGCCTCCTCCTTTCAGTAATGCTCGTTTGAAGGTGCCCACGAAGCGTTCTGCCTGTCCGTTCGATTGCGGATGATAGGGCGGAGAACGAAGATGAGTTATTCTATTTATGCTACAGAAATGCCTAAACCATTCTGCGGCGAATTGCGAGCCGTTATCCGTTACTAAGGTCGCGGGTACTTCAACGCAGCTAAACAGGGTAGACAGCTTGTGGGTTGTTTCTGATGTTGTACAATTCGGCATGGTATATGCTTCCGGCCATTTAGTAAATGCATCTACGATCATTTGACACATTGTCCCTCGGATTGAACCAGCAAAATTTGCGTGTAGTCTTACTCAGGGTCCTGCAGGAGTAGGCCAATACTGAGGTTCACATTTCAAAGGACTTTTAGCGGCTTGAATGCATGATGAACAGTTACGGCATTTATTCTCGATATCTTTGTCCATTGACGGCCAATAAGCATAACTACGAGGCTCTGTTGCAGTTGTGCGAAAGCCGACTCAACACCTTTGAGCCCTTTCATTTCTGACTTCTGATTTAACTGGCTTGATATTCTTCGATTATAATGGTGTTACGTGTCAAGGCGTTGTAATACCCTATATACCCGTGGCACATTCATATTGATAAATTCTGTATTCGCACATTGTTTTCTATTATATCAGCTTCGACTTAATATTCATTTAGTCATATGGTGTTGTTTTGCTGGCAGCACGGGATTTTCTGTGGAATAGATTGTCTCTTCTCAAGGAACATACATTTCAGTTGTGTTTTATTTTAATTGGAATGATCTCGATGCATCAGTGTAAGTATACGTTGAAGTTTGTGCACCTCAGTGAATTTCACTGTTTCTTTTTCAGATGTTAGACATGAGGGTGACGTTTTTGTTGTAAATTATCTGTTACGGTAATCCATAAATATTTATGGACTGTTATCGGTAACCACCAAAGTATATCTACATAAAGACTACGAATTTCGAGTCTACGTAAGCAAATCTCTCTAAAAGTGAATGAGACAAAAATACTCACATAGACTCTTTATGTTAATAACGAAGAAAGGCAGTTTCGTAGCAATCTAGCATTTGTTTCTGATCTTGTGGACCTTGTTGAGTATATCTGGTGGTGTGTCATTACCATATATGGTCAGATAAAAGCTCGGCACATCTTTGCTCTTGAGGTCGATAACTTATAAATGGCACGCCCACTATTTTGTACAATCGTATTGTCTACAGGAGCGCTTACAAAAGGCTTTTGTCACCACACTGACATTTTTTTACTCAATTGCATGTCGTTGTGAGACATAATGCTAACATTATTGAAAATTGTGTATTATTGCATTTTCTGAAGAAACCCGAAATGGTTTCTTCACAACACTTATGTACCCATAAGATGTTTGTGAATAATAATAATAATAATAATAATAAATTTCGATTTATTCATAAGATTGTCAAACTATGTAGAAGCTGCATTAAGAGGGTCAGTGTTCACATCGATATTATAACATTTGTTCAAAACTTAAAGTCAACAACGTTGTGTCATAAAAATGCGATTACCTATACTGTATTACATTAAAGGGGAAATATGGCATTCAATTGTGTTTATCAAAATTATCAAAACACCACTTTAATATATGCGTTAGGTTCTCATAAAAACGTGCCCAGATCTCCTTTCGCGGGTTATTTGAAAGTCATAGGATGATTGTTTAGCTTGGCAGTAAGTGATTCCATAAATTTTTCAACCTTTTTACTAATTTTTGGTACACATTTTAGGAAATGGTGATTTTTGAATGTCCTGTCGATACGAACGGGAAAATAGCACAAAATCTAAACACTGTGCAAGAATAATTATAAAAGATTTTGAGTATTCTGACTTTGAAACTTTAAAATCTGCACTTCGTAAATTGTAGTGAATATTGAACATATGAAAATTCCCCTACTCCTGATATGGCGCTGGATACGTCTGTAAGTTCTGTAGCAGGTTGGGCCCTTGTTTTCTAGTACTGATCGCAAGATAGTCTTAATCTGAAGCTTATGTTATTTATGATTGTTACAGATTGGTACCCTTGGAAAATATATAAGGATTGTTTGGTCTTTTTTGGTTGTCGATTCACCATTCTTTTTTGTTTTGCAGCCCTCTACACTGACATTATATGCCTCCCTAGTACACAAAATAACTTCTGGCTAGACGTGAATCGCTATAGTTCATCCATTGTGTTTTCTTTCATTTTTTGCTCTAAATAATGTTTGAAAGTTTATGATACTCATGCCACTATTCGAAAATATCCGAAAATGTGTTTGTCGCAGACATGGCTTGTCTCGTCGGTTAACCAGGGTGTTATTCAATGTAAAGATTAATGAATCCTTTAAATCACAAAATATCCCGTCACAGATTCGAGTAGGTCTCTGTTTTTGACTTGACCGTTTAGGATTTATTGGTCTACATAGCTCGTGAGGGAGTAGCCGTAACGGATTTGTTCAGAAGACCTGGAAACCAACAAGATATGAAAAAGATTATCTCTGACCTTGAGGCGGGGAGACCAATCAGGTGGACAGATTACAACTTTTATACCCTTGCAAATATTGCCAAACGGTATTTGCTACATATTGAGGGCGGGATTTTGGGTCCTGAATCTGAAGAAAAACTGCTTTCTACTCTTGACATTCCAGATGATCAAGCCCGAATCGAAGCAATGCATTGGTTAGTATAGTTCTTAAAAGCATGTTGTTTGACGAAACATTGTGTTTTATGTCATAGTGTGGTTCTTAATAATATCGTTTTCCTAATAATTCCAGCAGGCGATGAGACTATAACTTATGGATGACCTTTGAACGATGCGAAAGTTACCTTAAGAGTGTTCGTCTAGTAATTAGGACCGAATAAGGATTAGAAATAAGTATGATTTTCATGTATGGTTTTCATCACGAACTGACATAAGCTATAATGTCAAAACTATTTAGCCAAATGGATGAGTGAATTTCGCGCCAAAATCCGGGACCTGTTGTCTTATACCTGATTGTTTCGTCCATAAATTATAGTCTCGCCCAGCAGTCGTTTATGCAAACTACGGGTTCTAGTTACTGTTCATCCGTCAGTCTTCAGGCATAAATACCAATCCTGTTTTTTAAATAGTGTGCAGCGTACGGCCTAACAGTCTGATATTCATTAATCATCAAGTCGTGATAGCTCTCATCTATCTCACTCTGTTTTCATGCTTCATACAATTCGCAACGGAACTAAATTTTACTGTACTTGCGCACTTTGAATCGATTCTGTTGTCTAGATTTCTCTAAATACTAGTCATTGTAATAATAATAATCGCATATAAGCGTTAAAATTACATTATGCTTTATTGGGTTTTTACTACTGCCTGATATCATAGCGCTCCTTCAAGTTCGGTGATACCGTTACTACCTCTACTACCCCGGTATATGATCTGAGAGTTTCATCTTTACGATTGAGTGACTCAGTTTTGTGTTATGGTCATTTAAAGTTTCAACGTTATTTGAACCTTTAAACTTTACTTACATTGGTGGTTACCATTTTTTTACTAATGTTTACTGTACGCTTTGTATTTGCTGTTATCTCACACGCTAAACCATGGCTCGACTTCCTTATAACTGAATCAAATTAACAAATTCTAGCTATCGAGCCTACCAACAGAGCCGTTGATATTGTTGCCACAATGTGGAGTCAGTTACTTACCAATAGCGTCCATACGAGGAAACTCGAAGATTCTGGTTTCGCACGTGCATGTACAATAGGTATTACCAGGTATATATATATGTACGCACTTGTTATTTAACCAAAGGTGAGTGCTTCATACAGCGCTGTTAGTCAGTAATCTCAGTATGTCGAAAATGCCAATCACACTTCTGCTCTTCTATGCAGTTCATTAACTTTTAAGGTAACAGAAACTTAAAGTGTGTGCAGTTACAGATTTTTTTCAAATATAATTATTTCCCGTTGTATAAAAATTAATGTCCTTGTAAGAATTTAAGAATTCGTTTTCTTTTTACGATGATTGAGCTATAGTAAGTTTCCTGGTGACTGCGTGCTTTAGCTTCTAAAATGTTTAGTTCTAACATGTTGATACTCGTCCATTTTCCATCTCATAACTTAATATAAATATGTAGCAGTCTGGGCAATATGGTAAACTTCATATCAATACGACAGTGACGTAAATCAAGATAGACCATTGACGTCGTGAATCACTCATCAGATTATTTTCTGAGTCAAGGCTAAATATTACATCTACGCTATTTTAATGATAACACAAAAACTTCATATTTTATATTATGAATATTTCGACGAATTAATGTCCTGAATTCTTTTTAAAACGTGTGTTCTGATTACCATCCCCACATTTTTAGTGTGATTGTTTCCCAACCAAAGCCTGTTCAGCAGTTACTTGCTCTACTATTCGGCATCTGGTTTCGAATGATCTATCATACTGAAGTTAATGCTATGTCTGTGGAAGCTGTTGCTAAATCTGTCGCCGGTTCTGTTTTCCCCAGCTGCACGACTACCCCAATAAAAGTGAGAGATACTTGTCTTATGGCTCTTAACTAATCATGATTTCATTTTCGGGTTGAACAGTTATTTTCAGGAAACACGATTTGTATACGTGGTTTAGCTCCAGTTCACTCATTTCTGCTATTAGCTTGGATTGAGTGCTCAGATATTCTCTTATATCATGGTATTCACGTCTGGTATTGTGTGATTTGGTGGAATAACGTTTTTGCACTGACTGACTGTACTAGGTTTGGGTCAGTCTTAACAAAATTTGCCGGGAGTGAATTCTTTTTTATCTTAAATACACTAATAAGTGGCTGATGACACTGAAGAAAAACTGTTTTGTATTGTGTCGTTGATGATAACAATAGGATATCTGTTAACTGAAGACTTATTAAGAAACTCTCGATTTCAGAACTACTGCTTGATCTCTTGGAGGGATGGTTCTGTCAATCGCCGTAGGGGGGGGAAGTATGTGAAAGTTCTGGATTCTTTTTTGTGTGATATAAGGCTTATACTCTTTCACCTATCTCGTCGAACCAAATGTTTGGTTTTCTCCAAAAAATTTATTTATTTGTGAACATATTTTGATGAGTAGCTCCCCAATGTTTTTGCATAATGGACTTATTCTTTAATTACTCATACAATCTAATAGTACAGTATAATTCTGTGAATGATTATCGCAAAGGTGTCTGACACTAATTAATTCATCCATTGTGTTGTTAACCTCAAAAGAATGTGTTTTTTTTATATCTAATATATTTTATCCACTTTTCGTATAGTAACACAGATTAGGTCTTGCATATACTTAACTAGTTTTTTTTTCTGTATGCAGCTAGTGTCTGTCTTAATTCCATATATAATCCTATTTCAGGAAATAGGATTTGTCATACCTTTGTCCTAATAGATTATTTACATTAAAAATAAGACATATTTATACCTGAAGAGTATGATTATGTTTAAAATTTCGCCACATTAGTGATCAAAATTCTTTGAAAACTAAGGTTTGTCTTATTTTAGGTTGAACGAGCATCAAAAGTTATGGAATATCTCATAACTGGCTTTGCCTCTGCTGATCTCTTCAGTCGTGAGCTTATCGAATACTTCACATTAGAAACGAAAACTAGCATATCGAGAGTGGAGAAGTTCAAGTACGAGTTTCGATTTCCTAAAGACGTGCCAAGTAGGTCCATTTGCATTAGCTTTTGAAAGATTGTCTTATTTATTTGAACACAAATATTAGTATAAAAGGACACTGAATACATATACGCCATACAAGCCACTTGATTTGCGTGTGGGCCATAATACTACCCGGGTGCACAGACTGAAGTAGGTGGGTTTCTTAGTGGGCCACACCCAAAGCCTTCGACCTAAAGGTCTGATCCACAAGGTAATGGAGCAACGTCAAGAGATGCAGTCCCATGATAGCCGGTGACCAACGATAGGCGCATACGTCACTTGTTCTCCCAGGTTCCTGGAGCCCATATGCACCATTGGTTTAGAATCAGGGTTTTCTAACTCCCCTAGGTGGACCCTTCGTGTTCACTGACCCGGATGAACCGCCGGACATTCGCCTTTCGTCTTCTCAATCTCGTAAACAGCACCCTCGTCACGAGAAGGCAGTGGGTAGGACTTCCCTGGCAGTGGCTCTATATGCGTGGCTATGTGAGAGCATTTCGAATGAGAGAGAGCTAATTCTCTCACCCTCGGCCGTACCAGGGCATTTACTGTTACTGGTTTTTCGATTTATTACGTAAATGTAGGTTTTTATCTTTTTATCAGAATTTAAAATGTCTGAATCTGGGTTTGCTGAAACTTTCCCTACCGAGTTTCTGTCGTATCATAACACTTGAATAACTTCTAATTTATGGCAGGGTTGTATTCATATATATCATTTATTTTCGAATAGTTATCCATACTTATATATGACCATTTGGTTCAAATAGAAGCTCTACTGAAGTCCAAAAACAATTCAGTTTCCTATCTTAATAGCTATGATCAAAAAATTGTAAAGCGTCTACAGTAATTATTGTTTGTCTAATTTTCACGAAAAGTAATAATATTGATGTGTTGTTCATCTTTAAACATAGGATCTTATCGTGATGAGTACATCATTTATTTATTCATGGATAGCCTAATCTGTACATCTGTAAGTAAAGATTTGAAACAACTATCCTACTTCACTTGATAGTAACCCATAATTGAGAAGTAATTAAAGCTGTAACTCGTCCTAGTTTCATCCAAGGTAACTGATGTACAAAAGCTCATTCTCACTGATATCAAAGCAATGGTTGAAATCAATTCGAAATGCAGTATTAACTGTATGGATTACTTTGTCACTGAAAACCCCATATTCACCACTTTTTAATGTATAGTAACTTGTGAACACTTTCAGTTTTGAAATCACCTATCAAATGTTATTAACATATTTTCGGATGAACTTGGTGATCGAAAGTTTACAACAGTTATACTTATACATCTTTTACTGTTGTGTATTGCATACCTGCGTTTTTAGGTGAGCATGACAGTGTTGTCGTTATGTTTTGCTAACTATCCTACTAATTAAATCCTTAGTTTCTATATAAAATCGAATTTTGTTTTCTTGCTCATCTTTCTTACCTTCAGTAACTTCTTGGCTACACCGTTGTTTTAATTTTACAGGAGAAAAATCTGTTCGTCTTTTCGTTCGAATGCTATTAGAAGAAGGTAGAAAACATGGATTTCACCTGATTAAAGATGGTACGTGTTCAACTTTTGGAAAAATACCTCTGATGAGTTTCCTTCACATATTTCACAACAAAGCAAAAGTAACATAGGTCGTAGAGTCAACGATAAATTCAGTTTTATTCCGTTGACTTCTACATACATACAGGTTGATAAGTTCAATGTTAATGTGGTTTTAATAAACAGTAATATACTTGAAAAAATTTCATATTTAATCATCCATCAAGTAACTAATATTAAATCTTATTTCAGTTTGTAACAGTTGGCAATTCGACTGGATTTTGATCAGTATTAGTTGGTATATATTCATCCTGTACCGATTGCCTCTATATATTCACTACATCTATTATGTTCGCAGAGTGCATGGAATGTGGCTAACAGTAAAACTCTGGGTGGGTGTTATGTCCTATTTGAGACTAATCAGCTGCCCATTTGGACTCAATAAGTGAATAACGCGTTGTATGTTTGACATGAAGGTTACCGGATTTGAATCTCAGAGTGAACAGCAACTTTGGAGTGCAGGTTCATCTAGCTGACAGGTCGCAAATAATACTAAACGCACACCTTCGACTCTTTTACTAGCCACATCATCTATTTTATAGTAAATAGTCTGCAAAGCATAATTATATATATATATATATATATTATTAGTGAAGACAATTTTTCTAAACCTTATTATGACCATGAAAAGTTTTGAGTTCATTCAATTGTCATCCTAGTTCGAAGGAGAAAGAAAAATTCATTCGAATGCTCCTTTTTCGTTACTAAGGCAAAAAATAGTTAGAAATAAAAACCAGATCTTATCTTAATTGCTATGGCCTTTAGGAGTCATCGCTGAATAAAACTATGCTGTTTACTTTATTGTTTCGTTTGTTTAAATTTCTAAAAATCCTACTTTATTCCTTGTTGAGGTTTTCGTTTTCACTAATTCGTGGATTTTTTGATGAGTTTAGGTCTTTTTCTGTTGTAATTAAGCGAATATTCTAAAGAAAGTCTAAAGGGGACAATACTGATAGGGTGTTAGTAAAGATAAAAGCTTTCGCATAGTAAAAACACTGACAGACATAGCATAAAACTTGGAGCAGATGTGTGTCGACCAAAGTTGCCTCACTACATTAGTACGACAAAATAGAAATAACAAGGAGAATGGCAAAATCGATTAAAGTAGTGTAATATCAATCATAGTAAGAATGATTAAACATTGTGAATATAGTTCGAAAAGATGAACGGAAAGATATATATGAAGGAATATTGAAGCTCAAAGTCTAAAGGAAGAAAAAATATGGTGTAATGGGTGATGTAAAGATCGTAACAGTTTAACTGGTTTGCTCGAATTTCAGGATGACAATGAACCAGAGCAACATGCTCCCAAACCATTTAAATATTCTTGCTATACTAAAATTTTATTGTTGCGACTATTGATTAGTTATGAACAACATATAATTTGGTTTTAATGTGGCGCGGTACAATTTTCCCACTATTCACACAGGCGTAGTTGGAAAGTTGACAAAATTAGAACTGAAGGAAGGAAAGTGAAATTGCCAATGATATTAGAAATCTATACAATGTAAATTTAGTTCACAACATAAGAAAAAGGCTGTAATGGAGTACAAGTTGACAGTTTTATAGACAGTGAAAAATTAATTTATCTGAGAAATTGCAACTTATTTTGAGCTATACGATGTCCTATCTAATTCAAGTGTTGGTAAGAAGAATTTGAACTTGTTGTTATTCCATAAGTCCTCACTATATGAATTCAAGTTATATAGAAATGCAGTGACTTCATGGTATTTCATAGGATAACCGCAATAAGTGGAGCTATTTTAAGTAGGATAATTCAAAATCTAAAGCATCTCTGTGTCCGCTCACTCTTCATTTTCTTCAATACCATAATAACCCATACATTTTGTTCTTTATTTTCATATGTGTACTTTGCTTTCCTACCACAATTATTTACTTCTTTATTCCTTTTCTTCTAGTAGTTTTTCTAGTATACATAGCGCGTTTATTTTCACTTTTTCGCTTATTTTCCGTTATTTCTATATGTTTGTAATCATTCTGAAGAAAATGTCCCATGAAAATTTGTTGGAAAACTTCGTCATTTTACTTACTGTTGTAATAACTAAAATTATTCGTCATTCCCAGCAATTATTAAGGTACCGAATCTCCACACATTTTGGACTTTTATAAGATATGAAGGAGGGTTTTTATCGTGAACAAGATGACTTCGAGTGCTATTAAAGGTATGAGGGCCGTTGTCACTTCCTGGGTCCTCACACTGTGGATGGATATTTATTTTTGAGAGGCCTAAAAATGAGGTTAGTGGTGGTCTTAGCGATCTGAGAGTGTGAATGTGGAGTCCAGAGGATAACTGTTTGAGACCGCTCACGCACAGCCATTTTATGGAAAGTTCTTGATATATTAACTTCTCACTTCAAAAGGCTTTACCGCCGAAGACGGGAACTCCTCAGGGTAAGGTGAAGTGTGATGTTTTTAGGGTCGACCCTTCCTTCTGTTGTGGGAAGGCAGTGTTGCTGCAGATGTCAGTTATCCGGGAGAAACACCTTAATGTCGTCATACCCCAGCACAGTTAAGAGCACTACGTTGCCCTCGGACCTTAAGTTTGTTGCCTTTAATCTTATCGTTTTCCAGCCAACTTGGTAGGGCCTAAAGGAACATTTGTTACATCCAATATAGCTCCGTTGAGTCATCATGATAGACAACACCGACCGTCACATCAAGATACCCGCTACGGTTGGGACTTTTGCAAACAGTTTGTATTCCCTTTATGAATTACTCAAATTCTGATGTACAACTACTTTTCAGTCACTAACTTGCGATGAATCAGTTCAAGGTTTTCTAGTTAATTCCTCCGAATCATATAACACTTGAATTTGTTTTGTATTATTTTTAGCCGTATCCAGGGAGGTTTTTGAAAGATCAGCTTGTAATAACATATCCACTCCAAACAATACAGTGAACTCAGGATCTAATGAGGTCACTTCTCGTCCAGATGATAATTTGCTCGTTGGAAATATCCCATCAAATGTTTCGTATATGCAGAATATCAGTTCCACACAGAGTGAGAGTTACATATCTGGAGATGGGACTATTTTATATACAGAGGCAAGCTCTACGGTAACACCTACTCTTCTAAGACGGGAAAATCGACCCTTTGAAATAGGTATGATGACTATCTTCCTCAAGTGTTGTGCAGACATGTGTTTTGATCACAAATCAAAGAAAATTCAAACAATAACATTTCTCCTTTATTGCACTACGTACCAAGTGGTATTTTTTTACTCATTCTCAATTTTTCATGATCAAAATTGTTTCCCTAAAATTGTTCGAATTCTCAAATAATTTGTTCCATTCAAGACTTTGGGACATTTAATGGTGAATCATTTAATTATAAGCAACATAAAACCTGGGACTTATTTCCATCGGTTTTAAGTTGTCACTATATCAGTACCTAGATAAAATTACCGAAATAAATAGTAAGGAGGTAGAATTAGAAATAGTAGTAAGAAGATTAGACAGACAATATGGTTCTAAAGAAATAAATCCCCAGATTAAGAGGTTCGTAGTTATTCCGGAACTCGAAATATAAGCAAAGACAAAATGTACACGCATTTGCGTCATTGTGATTAATTTTGAGCCATGCCACTTAGCGTCTACAGTCGTCGGTCATGATAATTATGCTGATCCCAACCAGGTAGTCTACGCGTACCGAAATAGCTTTGTTCAGCAGCCAATAAGTCGACGGACTGATATCACATCTTGTTTTGGTCACTTCTGACTTTCGTCTAACCTACTCCTACGCCAACAAACAATCATCGAGGTACGCTATGCTTAGCCATATATAATACACGTCTCAACCAATTGGGATTCGTTATCTTGCTGGTCGATTCGCCATCTCTATATTTTATTAGTGAAGCTGTTTAGGTTTTACTTAGCGGATGACTACATTTATTAACAACTGTCGACTTGTACAGAACTTCTCTAGTTAGTGTGTTAATTTCTGTTGTCTACTGTGTATAGTTTCACATCTCTGCGATAAGTTTTGTTATCTGAACAGTCTTTATCACTACAACACCGCTCTCATTGTCTTTTAACTTATATCACCACACTACTCTACTCTATACTGGTTGGTTTGCTTACCAGGACTGATTAACAAATGAAATTATTCCTGCATTTTTATAAAAAATGAAATTTTCAGCTATTTCTTTTAGTTGCTATGTGAGCTTCCGACCTGTGATCATTAATGCCTCGAAAATACTAGATCACTGCTTCTCTTAAATTAGTTATCATTTTTTGCATCTAGAAATTTATATTACGCAGTGAAAACAATAGAACCGACTTTCGTAAATAAAGTTTAATCGATAATTGTTTAAACTACTTTTTTCCCTCACATACTATATGTCTGGGAATTCATGTATCACAGAATGTAAACAACAAAAAGTAGTATTTGTTTATTCAACTTGTTATTTTCCACATGATTAGGATACTGTTAAATTTAATAATTAAATATATCGAATTAGAATGTTAAGTGATTGGGTATTTAGTAGTCTACTAGAAACCCCTGGACATAGGTTCCGTGTTCGTTGGCCACTCATTAGCAAGTGGTATCTGCAAACTTGAGGGGACTAACTAATGTTTGGTGGACTCGAACTTAGCTCATTCGCGTTCGTAGTCTGAGATGTTATCATTGAGCTGTTTGGTTCGTAACTGTGAATACCTTCATTTCATCACAATTATGAATTACCTATATTACTCATTTAAAAAATTATTTTCATATAGATACTGGGGGATTTGACATACTAAATGCTCCTATTCAGCAAACATCGGAAAAACGTACATGTGTTACTACAACACCTATTGGAAAAACCTCTCATCATGCCACTCCAGTAGTCAACTTAGATTCATTAAACGCACATGAGTTTTTAAATCCTATAACAACAATTGTAAATCCGGATAATTCATCTAAGAACAAATTTCCCTCTGTTGTCCCATCCATTTCATCAGTTGAGAATAGAGAATATAATGCTAAATTAAAGGTAGGTCAGTTAGTACTTTTTAGACATTCTTACTAAGTATCTACCTATTGTTCCTTCCTACTAATTGAATTAGTTGTCCGGTTATTATTGGTGCTATTGAAACGTGAAGTGTTTGCCAAGTTACTGCACTCTTCTGTAACCACCCATCTATTTTACCAGTAAATATTAGAGATATTGATATGGGATTCTTAGTACTATCAAATAGTTATTAAAATTAATTTATTACTAATATTTTTTGATAACGTGAATATGTTTATCACCAATCTCAAACAAGGAACTGTTGTTATCATTAATTGGAAGAATTCATTTTTTTCTGATTAAACCTCCTAGTTACCCCAATATAACCTGGGATGAATGAATTTCGCTTCTTGAAATACTCTCATACTGTCACGTGTACATAATGTCTTATGGAGCGCTACTTGATATCTTAACGTATTCCAGTAAAAGTAAGAGCTTGTAAGATGTTTTAATCTTAGTGCTCATCGGAAAACATGTGAATCTTTACAACTGAACAAACTCAATCAAGCACGTGCGATAAATATTTTTTCATGTTATACTTCGAATCGGCGTTTCAAGTATATTTTCAGGTCATATTATGGTCAGCCAATTTTGGCGTAAATGTCTACAAGTCTACCTCCCCTTTTGAATAAGCTGCTTGAATTTTAGTTATTTTGTAGTATATTTTCGGACTACTGCCAGCAACTTATTGACACCGTTACGTTTCTAGTAAAAAACATCTGTAATGATGAAGACCGAAGTATATTTCAAACGTGCTCGTTAGTCCCATGTGATAAATACCGAAAATGTTTCTAGTGAAAATACTAATTGCCAATAAGGGTATATGTTAAAAGTTAATCTTAATGAATTGTAATAACTCTGAATACATTTTTTTACTGTCCTTTATCAAGTCAAATTCTGTTAGTCAAAACTTGATTTTTCAACACTTGGTTTGTTGTTTGGTTTCTAATATTATGAGCATAGATTTACAGTCTTGTTATTAATATATAAAATGACTAAGTATAAATAATTTTAACTGTTTTACACAACAGAAAATTCTTTATGAGATTTCAAATGTTTCTTGGCATATAACATTTGTTCCTCTGTATTCTTCACTGCTAAATTTCTTGTTATCTGTTTGGTAAAATCATTAAACTGTACAGAATTTTTGGATTTGTTTCCAGTGTTTTAAACACACATTTTCCCTTTGTGTATCAGGTAATGGTTTTGTCTGAAATTTAAACATTGAGATATTATGTTGGATACCAACATATACGATTAATGTAAGACAAACTCCAAGTACATAAATCTGTATTTAATTAAAGTTATACTCATTCCTTATGTAAATTCCTTAAAGTACTTGATGCAGTGAAATTTTAAGTGTATTTTGAATTGTCCAGTGTGCATGTGGTACAATATTCATACCGAACACAATTTATTCAAACGAGATTGAATGGTGTTTTACTAAGTTTAAACAAATCAAGAACGATAACATTATATTTTTAGAATACAACAAATTCATATTTATTCCGTTGATTTCTCTTCAGCTGCATGCCGAGCTATTATGTTTAATAGTTTCCAACTACTAACATAATATTGAAAAATTATTTGTCAATCGGTATACAAATAAACTGTGTTTAGTGTAATGAAAGTTAAAGTTTTAAAAAGGAGACTTCTTTTCACAGTAATAGTTCTAGAATGCTAAATTGCGAGATATTAGCAAAATTCTGGAAATTTAGAATGAAAAAAAAAGGAAATGCGAATTTAACTTACTGAATTATGATTACAGTTAAGTAAAACAGGAGGTCAAATAGTTATCAAGGGAGTCGAAGGCTAACTACTGATTCTTTCTAAATATTAAGATCATATGTAATCCTTCTTATTGCTTTGTCTCCTTCAAATTTTGATAACGTGGAATTGGACTGTTTATTAGTAACTTTGACCTAACTTTATTGCATCCCTATTGTGCCCTGTGTTTAGCAGGTGGCGTGCTATTCAACTACGTAGACAATTATGTCCTCGACATCGTATATATTTTGAAATGTATTCGGTAAAACGAGTAGAAGCTTACTCTTCAGTCCTTCAAATGTACAGTAAATTGATATATGCGGTTGGAGGTGACAGGTGATGGATATTTATCTAATTCTATTTTTGTTATCGGACATTGTGTTGTGTATAGCGTAATCAATTTCGTAGTGACAAACGTGTTGTCCACTCTAGGTGTCTTTTCGATGCATAAACATTTGACAGGTCCCATAATTTCTTCTGGAAATACCTAAATCGGTGAAGTGGGACGCGCTGTTGCTTTTGTTGAATTTGATACTGGATTGAAATTCACCAAAAGATTCAAGCATTTGATTTGTATGGTTCATATCATTACACAAAAAAAAGTGTCATCAATGTAGATTTCTTTAACTATAGTCTTGTTAATAACAGGTCGTATAGTTTTGTTCTTTCCAACAAGTATGTCTTCAGTGAATGGTCCTAAATGACTGCTTATCGCCTCACTATCTGTTTGATTGTGTATATTCACAATCCTTTTTATATATTTATTTTTTTAATTATTAAACGTATTTCACACTTACTTAGTTCTCATCGTAACCATATGTTATCCAACTTTCATGATTACTACTTCTGTAACAAGAAATTGAAACCCAAATAAACAACTGTTTAAGACTATACATATCCCTAAATACAATATACAAATGTGATTTTTCATTCAGTCAACTGCGTCACAGAGTGAATTATATTCGTTAACTCTCAGTGTATTGTTAGTTGTAACTAGTTATTTGATTCTCAATGTACTTTTGTTGTATTAAACATATCTTTGGTTTTGTATTCAGTGACAATTAGTCAGTAGATAAAACTCTGTATTTAGTAATCACTAAATTTGATATATGACTGAATTAACTTACATGTAAATCTGAATCTTCTCTGGACATTTCCGACAAATTTTCTTAGCTACGTTCGCCTTTTGGAATAGCTAAGAGCTAGATGAAAGCAGGGTTGCTGTACATGGTATCGTAGTTGCAGCTAAAGTTACTGCCGTATACTTCTCTCCGTAACTGATATGGTTTTACTAACATCACAATTAAAATAAATTATATTTTATAATAAATTCATTATGGTTATATTTGCTTTTATTTAAAACTTATAGTCTATCTTTATATATTTCTCTAGAATACAACCTATCGAACACCATCTTCTCAATCAGTTTGTTTTAATTCTGTTAAACGACGTCAGTTGGAACGCTTACAAAAACGTTCTGATTGGTTTCTTAGTCCCCCAGCCGGCTTACGCTCATCCACTGGTTTAATGCACTTAAATCCTAATACTCCTGGAGGTGAGTTTCAGTGCAATTAATACTTTCCTTCTCTTATTCCATAATCTCATACTATTGTATGCAATGAATATTTCGTATAGTTGTTTATTCGGTATGTACGATTTTTGAAGTTTGGTAGATTACCTAGAATTCTTAGAAAAATATATTGATAAGCGACCTTAAAATCACACTTCAAACAGTATTTCGTAGAAATTATTTACAAATGAGTCTTGATCAATTGTCTAGTATTGTTCTTGTCTGTTTTTTACTACATTAAAACAATTGTATATTTCAATGGTTAAGATCATGAGTCAGTTCGTATATTTAACATTATTGACTATTTCATCTAAACGACCTGAAAATATTATTTTTACTGTAGTTATTTCTATGCAAGGCCAAAATAAATTCTGTATCCATCATAAATTAATTAAACCAGTTAATACAAACAACGGGTTCTACTTTTCGTGTTGTTAATCATGCTATCGTGGTGATAGTAAGAAATATATATCCAATGAGTGTAGTGAAACTTAGTAAGAATTATCCCACTCAACAACTAATTACGGGTTTCGTTTGTTGATTAAATATACAATGGCAAGTGCTGTATAAAAAGTTAGGTATAGTATTTCCCTTCTTAGACCTAAGTGAATTGATTACCTAAGAAGCGATTTACAAAATAATTTCAATTTATCATTTTCATAATGTGGTGTAATTTTGAAGGAACTGACGCTTTCTGTGGGATTCAAACTTCACAGTATATATCGTTACTACTGAACTGTCCGGGTCACTACTCAATGGTCAATCAATTGTACATATCTTAGTCGTATAGGAGGTCAATCACTTCCCAAACCTATAGAAACACTAGTGATTCATGCATGTCCAAGTGTTATCAAAGAAATAATCGTTTTAACTACTGCATTTATAAAGAGAATATTTGTTTCTGTTGTCGTAATCAGTTTTTTGTCATCATATAAGTTAATTTTGCATAAAAGTGAAATTTCATAAGCGCTAATAAATCTATTGCTATTCTGTGTGGTCAGAAAAGTCTTACAGGTCTGTATAGTTGTTTTGTTTGAAAGGGAACTAATCAAAATAGATGTTTTTTATCCCACTTTCCAATTTTCAAAAATATTGATCTGACTTATCTAAGGTGAAAAAACATTATTGTTAAAATATGACCAACCGGGGTATGAGATATGTCAGTAGAATTGCATATAATACTATGTAAAGCAGTTTCTCAGTGGTTAGTCTTTTCGACTTTCAGCCATTACGTCACATGTTCAAACTACACTGTCTGCTTCGGTTTGAACAGCTCTGACTCTTAAAGTGTGGTTTGAACCGAAACAAAATAGTGTATACTTAGCAAGTAGATTAATAACAAATATTAACCTCGTTGCATTTTAAAATTAATTTCTTTAAATAATAAGACACTCAGTACAGTTGATTAATGATATTAATCATTGTCAAATTAAATACTTTACTCTTCATAGTATAGTTTTTACATATATAATGTTTATATGCAAACTGTCATAATTGTTTTTTTCTTTTTTTGACTAGCTGTACACGGTTCCATACCCCAAATTCAGAATAAATTAAACACATCTCAAACTAATAATAATAAGACTAACTTTAGGAACTATCCTATTGTCTCTACTGAACCACATTCATCATCTGATCTTGATTCATCTTCATTAATGGACATTGATCTATCTGAGGATGCGACAACAACAAACGATTACATCCAAAATCTAAGTCAGTTCAACATTAATGGGAACGATGTTGATGTGAATGATATTGGACATTTAGTATTCACCGCTCCTGAACGTATATGGAATTGTAGTAGTAACAGTAGCAGTAGTGGTGACCCAAATAAGTTATTATCAACTACGACAACTGGCCGTAAACGTCATTCGCATACACTTTCTACACCTGAACATACAATGCCACTAACTACTGGAAGTTCACCGAATTGTCCGTTGCCTCCACTGTCGACGTCAAGAACACCAACAAATTGTTTTAAAGATTATCCAGTCAAACGTTCTTCTTTTCAACCAGCAGTAGTTGAAGAAAAAGAGAATTATCCAGAGGTATAATCTCGTTTTTTTGTTGTAATACTTGTTGTATTCAGTATCATTTTTCTTCCCTGTTTAGCTATTTTTAGCTTGACCTACTTATTTCTCCCGTTTTTGTTGAACTCTTGAACAAGGTTGTGTACATGTGACCTGTATATATATATATATATATATATATATATATATATATATATATATATATATATATATATATATATATATATATATATATATAGCAACTGTTTGTATTTAGTCATCTGTTCTATTTCGGTATTAAAATTAATACATATAAGTATTTTATGTTTGCTCTGTACCTTATATATCCAGTTGTGTAGGTAAAATCGTAAGGGGAGCAGTGAATATACTTATGGATTCTGAATACTTTCGTTGTTAGTTAGTAGTGGCTTTCGTCGTTCACACTCTATCTCTTCTGCTTTTTAGTGCCTAGTGTCATTCATGTTAATGCATTCTTTGTTTAATATGGTATGTAATATATATGGTTTGGTTCTTACACAAAAAGTATACAACTGTTGTATTTTCTAATCGTAGTATATTAATGGTAGAAAGTATTGTATATTGTCCTTATTTTTAGGCCCTTTATTTTGTTTAGTTAAATAATATATGCGCTGTTTTTATTATTATCATTTCTAGTATCAAAACTACTTTTGTATTCAGTTTGAAAAGTTTGTAGCTTATGTTTATCGCAGATTAGTCTCGTTTTAGGCAACGTCGAAACCAGGAAATACTGGGCAACTGTTTTCTCTTGGTATAGGATTCCTCAGCAGTGCGCATCCACAACGATACTAAAAGTCGAACTTTGGTCTTTCAGGTTTTAATAGGAAGCACTTTTAACTATAATCGTTCCCTTATATCACGAATTGATTGGAGTTGGATAATGTGCTGTTGGAAGCTAACCCCAGTGGTTCTACTGTATAAGTGCTTACAATTAAGTTGTGATCAGTCTTAATTGTCACATATGCATCCTTATCAAATTGTCTTGATATAGCTATTTTTTACAAGTTTTTTTAGAAGAGATTGCAGTTAACAGTAGAATCCAAAGTGTGATGGTACTTCAGTCTGGCAAGTCCCATATAGGACAAAACGAGCATCCTGTATTCTACTGCTAGCCAAAATCCATCCCTTCTGTTAAGAGTCGATGTTCTTTTCTAACAACAGAAACACAACTATATATTTTTAAGTATAGTAAACAATAGTTAGGATTTTTGTGTTTTTTTAAAGAGCGACTGAGTTTCATGCCGGTACTCCTCTCCATATACTTCAGTTTGGACCACCGATTCGTATCATTAGTTCTTACAGTAAGTGTGACTTAAACCTAAGTAACTGCTGTATGAGTTTAGTATTATTACTATGATCATTTTTATCCAAGACAAAATAGGTGATGAACACTATGGGAGTATATGACATTTGTGTGAAATAACAGCCTACTTAGTTTCATGGTTGCCAGCTGACTCTTTACAAACGCTATAAACAACGTTATCAATGGAACAGCACTTAATTTATCAGAAACTTTATTATATATTCATTACTATTCGTTAATCGCCTTGTTTTTACAGTCTATATTCATGTTGCGCGACGTTTTTCAAGTTCTCATTTGTGTTTTCACATGCTTTTATTTGATTTCATTATTCCTAAGGTCGAAATACGATATTATATTGTTGAACGATATTACGGTCCGGAACCTCGACCACCTCCATCAAACATTCAACAACGTCTTGTTAATCACAATCAAGAACTAGCTACATAATTTCATTGTTGTATTATGTACAAGTTCAACGATATCTATGGTGTATATTTCACTTACTTGATACGTTCTTTTTATTCCACACACATGACCATATATATTCTCATTCGTTCATAAACCAACCACCTGTACGTAAAAAGTAGTAATTTTCTTGTGCGTTTTATGAGCCACAAAACTTTCTTTCGCCTTTATTCTTCCTTTTTATTATTATCTTTATATACTTCTTGGTTTTCACTTTACCTTTTTGTTAATTTGATGCACATTCATGCAATTATTGCTTTATTAACACAATGTGCCTACTACTATACACTCGAAGGAGAAGTCTACACGTTGTTAATGATAATACTTGTCTAGTTACCTGTTGAGTTACTTTTCTTTGAAAAGAGTCCAAGCAGAACCACCGGGGGAGAGGAATGAAACAGATAGCAACAACAAATGATGCCCGATTCTGTGTAGATATATATTTGCAATCATTGTTTGATTGTTTACTTTTCCAAGAAGAAATGACAATTTAGGTTTCTCTTCAACTAACATGAACTAACCAAAAAACTTCATAAAAATGAACAATCAAACAACTCACTTGTTTCTCTATAATTTAACGTAACCGTACTTTCCTATGTTTTTTCTTCCTACTATATACCACTTGACCACAAGTAGGTTATTACTGTTACCTATTTTGTTTTTCCTCTGAGAAATTACAAAAATAGACACTGTTATTCATTTATTTTGAGATCATTTTTATTCTTACTGTATTATTCGTTTTTAGCGAGTTTTCATGTCGTTTTATTACTATTTTTAGTAATTATATTTTATTTGTCCAGATTGCCTTTTTCGTACCTGTTGGTGTTTTATAAACGATTTCTTGTTACTGTCTGCATCTGTTAGATTTTTCTCCTCTACACTCTAGTGAATTGCTTTCGTTTATCTCTCTAAGTTGTTGTTTAAAGTCAATTATCAATTAAGTCCAATACAACTGTTGTAATGTCAGAGACAACCATAACCACTTGTTTTCTAGAGTGATGGCGGCGTTCTTTTTTCTTATATCTTCAGTACCTGCTGTATTATTGTTTGTGTTGCCTTAAAATTACTCAGTGAGTTTTTTTATAATGAGGAGACAGTTCATTTTACTTCTTACTTATATCGTATACCTTAATTTGTCCTAAATGTGCACATTTACCAATTTTACTTGCCTTCACTGATATTAGTAATAGTAATAGTACTTTGGTTTATTATGTCAGCATCGATTTATTGTTTTCAACTGTAAACAGTCTATTGTTGTGTAATTCACAATCTTCATTGAACAATCAATGCTTTACTTGATAGTGTTTTTATTTTTTGATTGTCAGTTCTTTATATTATAAATATTTTTATACTTTCCGAATAAACCAACTACACAGATCTATTTTGTGATAGGTCATTTCCTTATGTCCACTCTTTTTACACCATCTGTCTATATATACAAACGCAATTAATTTATGTGAAAACTTTTTATGCAAATAATTTTCTTCGTAAACACTTCTCAATAATCTGTTTGCTTACCTGATGCACTATCTATCCATTACTGTCTGATAAATCTGTTATTTGTTTTTACGTTAGTTTGCATCCTGTTTCGTTTTGACGAAAACAGTTATAAAACACAGTTCTTGTTTGAAAAAAAGGACATTGTTATTTGATGTTTCCTCCGACTTTTTTTAGTTGTCACCACTTTTGTTATTATCACTGTTTTAGTCAGAATTGAAATTTCAGATATGCATTTGTGTAATAGTGAAGCCTATAATTACTATTCTTAGTCAATTTGTCGCTGTTAAATAAATTGGGTAGATGTTGCATTTACATTTGGTACTAGTTCAGTCATATAGTATGAGTTTTGATATAATGTTAGGTAGTTTTAGGTAGTCGGCAAGAAACCAAAGATGTAGGTTTTGTGTTAGTGGGCACTTATCATCTAGGCGTACCTGTAATCGTGACATACTCATACTTTACATGGTATGCGGACCAGCCTCACGTTCACAGTTCCGAATTTTACCTTCGTGTTAATCGGGTGATGAATGACCTGTAGGACTGAAATATCTGCAACTATTTAATCACAGTGCTATGTTTGTACAGTACTTTAACGCCTGTCGAGTTCTATCTATCAGGTTAGTCTAGCCACTACCTTAAATGACGTGATTTCGCTTGATCTATGTTGAGGTGAGAATAAGTTGTTATATCTGTCTTTCGATCTGATATCATTTCTGTAGCTGTGACTAAATCATTACAAAAGCGAGATCTATTCATTACCAATGTACATTGGATGATAGTGTTGTATAGAAATTCGATTGACTGGAATACAAGCTGATGTTTATTTGTAATCATTTACAGACACCACCACAGTGAATATAGCTAATAAAACGTTTAGAAAGCTGTCGTTTGTCATATTTGTTGAGTTCGAAGTGAGGATACACGTAGATGTTTGTTTAGTTCGAATGATCGTCAAGATTAATAAGTCAGTGATACAAGTGTTTCGGTGGGATTTTCGATTGATTATCACAGTAATTTCAGTTGGGATAAATAATCTCTACATGTTCATCAGTTAATAATATACTCTTTATAACCTACAAACTCATTGTCGACATCATGAGTATTAATAATTTATGGAAGTGTTAAACTTTACAAAATTAACCAATGGTTACATTTCACAGTCGATTAGTTTTTATTTTCATCTACGAACTGGCAAATATATTTTTATTTAGATTGATGTCTTAGTGCTTGAATGCTGGAATATACTTAAAAGATCCTATAATCGTCAGTTTTGGAGGTGGTAGATGAATATGAGAGGATTTGTATTACTGAAAATCGTCGTTATATAGTGGTGTAAGGCATTAATATGTGACAGTTAAACACTGGAGCTAATTAGTTCCAATGCGTTTTAGTGTCGTTCAGCACAGGACATACCTTTGTGTAAAATGTCAACTAATACACTGCATCACGAAGCAAGCACCAACTTGGAATTCTGCAGAGGAAGGTTAAAGGATACACAGTCGAGAATTGGAAGCGGATATGAAAAGGATGAATAGCAACTGGAAAGGATTGCTCATGTCATGTTTGGATGGAGAATACTAGAGGGCAGCCTATACTCCGTCAGGAGTAACAAGCGTAAGTGATTAAATGTAGTCTGGAGGCACGCTTATTCGTAGAGTGTTATCATTTCTAGAACGATCTGACATGATTGTCCGGTCTTCTCTCAGGTGTCCACCGTGTTTACTAGGCTTGTAAACTCTTTCCGGATTAATTTACTTCTCAGTCTTTAAACTACACGGTTGAAAATCTAACAGACTTGAACAAATAACATGAATTTAATATCATCAATGGCATTAAACTGGACGATTGATATCACCTCGATTTGTACAGACTCATAATTAATCAGAATCACGTGCCTGTGTCGGCACATGACGTTTAATAATGTAGATGTAGGTTGGGGAAAAGCTGTGTGACCAAGCCTAAACGTGGCATTAGTTCCCACAGTCACTGACTGGCAACCGTCACTATATTTAACAAGGTCTGTGATTCACCGCTCGTCAGCTTAATTCCATTAATATTTTTTTCAAGACCGGTAATATTTTATTTAGCTGTTATAAGTTTTACATAGTTTTAATGCTCACTTGGTTTGAATTGTTGTCAATCTATTCAGGTTCTTTCCATTGTAAAAAGCGCAATGGTAGCCAATGCCTTCTCGCTGTGTTCTGATCGTATTTTCTTGGTCGAGCGAGCCCCAACTGTAGTGAAATTTATTGTTTATAAAACAGACTATTAATGCTGTACAATTAGCTATGTAGTATATGAAAATCTTTAGTAAGTGTACAAATGTGCCCTGAACCTGAACAGTTGTCAGACGAATTTGCTTCTAAAAGATTTTGTAGGTAACAGTGAATTTTCTGTAAAACTGTTAAAATAAGTATGAATATATTCATATTTAGGTAAATGAGGTTGTGTAACATTTCTACCATATTAATATGGGTAAACTGATAATAAGTCATGCAAAACAAAGAAAATTTCTGCATAAAACCTTTATATCTAACGGATTTGATCAGTCCCACTACTGAATGATTTTCAACAAAACAAATTCTAATCATGAACTGAAAAGTGGATTCATAATTACCAGGTCTTTTCAACCACAATGTTAACTTATTCTTAAACTATAATTACACTAACTTTTCAATATATTTACAAATGAAATGTATATATAATTAAAAGAATAATTTCACTTGGTATTGTTTGGCTTGTATCTTCCCATTGAGGTTTAAGACTGCAATTGATCAGTCTGTCATTGACATATGTGCATACTGTGCGTATGCCTCGATATTACCTTAATTCACAAGCTATTTGTAAGCAATGATGGATAGTGGCTAGCAGTTTCGTCCCGGAGTGAACATCAACTCTCTGCGATGCAGGCACATCCAGCTGACGAGTCCCAAATAGGACGAAACGCGTGTCCTGGATTCCACTGCTAGCCACTATCCATCATTGCTTACAAAGGAATAATTTGTTTTAGAAATATATATCCATACATAATGTGATTTTGTCATGAAATTTTTTTTTTAATTTGGCTAAATATTATGCAGTTAAATGAAACAAATAATCATCCCAGACATAGTTTGATATGTTTTTTCTTTCTGTAGTGATGCATTAACTTGTTTCTTTTTTGATCACTTTTTTTCTCCTTTATTCAAAGTTTTGTTTTTAGTCACCTATCTATTTGATTGCTATGTTGAATGTAAATATTGGCATTCATGCTTATTTCATACGATTAACATAGTTTCTATTGCAAAATGATTATAATAATGATAATAATTACAACAATATTTCATAAGATTCACGCCACGTGTATAGATTGACGTCATTCTTTCATTTTATTTTACAGTTGTACATCTTATTACTACTTTATTATTATTATTGTTTTAATCTAAATCCATTTTGATAATCCTCACAACCAAAATATGTATGTAACTATAAATAGTCTAACTTCAAACTACTAACTACCCTATTAGATTTACAATCACTTTTTCGTACATCATCATACAACACACAGTAGTTGGTGTATACATGTAAATATATGATGTGTGTATTTGAACTTTTCAAGAATAAATTATAATTACTATTATTATTATTATTATTGCGTTTATATACAATATAAATGCCAACTTGACCACGTCTATAAGTTGGCGTGCATACATACAGTAATTATTTTCAGAATATATTGAATAATGATTTATGTTATTGGATTAGACTAACAGTAAATGAGACTCAATTTCTTAACAAACAAACAAAAAAATATACCAACAGTGAAAACCCATCACACAGTGGATTGATAATTTGAATTTACATTAGTGCACTGAAAATAATGTTTGTTTCTCATTTATAACTAACTGAAATCATGTAATAGACCACTGAGTTGATATGGATAAAAGCAGATACTTATGTTATGCATAATTCATACTATTTTGTTTGTTATTGCTATTCTCATTACTTACTATATTTATTGTTTGTGAAATAGTCTTCATGAAATCTGTTTGACAATAATTACACTTCACGTTTAGTTTATGTCATAATTTAAAGACGTAACTATTAAAAAACGTGAATGTTTTTTTTAAAAATTAAATTCGGTAAACCGAATAGTTTAATTATAATTTTCTTTTTATTGTCATTCGTTGAACAATTAAAATATTATTGAGAACTGTGTTAACAGTATTATAATTAAGTGATTTACATTGAAACAACCCTATTTTACTGCAAGCATCTATTCAGCATTTTAGTCTACTAATTTGCTCTACGTTTAGTTACATTGATGATTCCGATTAGAGTACCAACAACAAATTGTTTATAATGAATTTAAATTAAACTCAAATATAAAAATAATTAATTATATAAGTAGTGAAGATAAAATAAACTGAGTTAAGCGAAAAGTAGTGAATCACTGATAAAAAAAAGTGTACATGGTTGGTGGAATTGTTTAAAACTACCTTATTTTGTCAAAGTGAATAATTGTAGTAAATTCATTACGTGTCAATGGTAATACTTAATTCACCAACGAAAAAGAAACTAGTATATTCTGAGGTACTTGTTCTTTATCTAGGCAGGTGTCGTTTATCTGGATCAACTGTCAGTCAGACTTTAAATACATTTCAGTCAATGAATAGAATCCATCACGCATACTATTATCTGATCGTATTTAATCTAATAAGATGTGTAGCCACAGATATTCGTCATGATGATCAAAAACTGACGTTAAACGAACTGTTGAGTAAGTAACCTTATTCAAGTTATTCAATAAAAGACATTTACAATGGGAATCAATTTTTTATTTCTCAGTTGGACATGTCTTGTGGATATCGGTTTTAATTGATAGGTTCCCTCCGCTATAGACTGTTCACATCTGGGGTACCGTTGAAGATCAGAAAATACCGGATAGCTTATTCTTCGAATCATGGGACTTCTCAATACTAAATACCTACAAACACGCCAGGAATTGAATCCAACAAGACCGTCAGATCTCGCGGTGAACATTTAACTATTGTAACCACTGGGTAAGCCTCCAATGGTACACTCCCAACTTTAGTCGGTCTGTGACCTAGCTAAACTATCCCTAGTGTGTTTGCGACTTTCCACTACTGAGGTTTCCTACACTAGTGTGAAACGTGTGTCCAGAGTTCCCTAATCCTCAATGAGAAGTTTAGCGAGATCAGTCTGTAACGAACAAAACCTACAGATGTTCGTTTGACTTGTTTGTTTGTTAAGTTCAAACTATCAGAATACTATAACTCATATTATTTCACTAGTCATTAATTTTAAATTCTGTTAGGTTATCCTAAATAATCATTTAGGTTTGGCTTCTAATTTTAATCAATATTCTTATAGTTATCAAGCGACCATATATTCATATGATTCATCTCAATAGGCCACTTATAAATAGATTATTTATATAAGTTGAAGCTAATAGTCAGATAGGTTCTATACTACTTTCTCTGAAAATCATTAAGTGAACTAAAATGTAAATTATATTAAAGAGCGGAGGACACATTAGTGGAATCGATTTCCAGAAACTGCCTAACTGAATGATTTCCTTTCTTCATATAAACTATATATCTCATTTCTAGTCTTATCTAATATTTCAAGTTATTCATTTTTATTCTTATCAGTTAATATTGTTTCCTATTTATTTCACGATGTTCATTTTTGTAAGAAAAAACAATTATTCCTGTTTTTGCATGCATAATATATGATGATGATGAAACCAGAAAAATAATCTTTTTCCGTAAAAAGCAAACAGTCGAAGCAAAGAATATATTGTTTTTTCTCTCCCCCTCTTTAATGGATATATATATATATACCTATTCTCTGTGATACTTCTTACATTCACTTTTTTATTTCTCACCTTTAAACCTAACAAAGTTTAATGTTGATCCAATATAAAAAGAATTACTATTGTGTTACATATGGTACCTACCGCAATTTATTGTTTATTTGCTTTCTCCATCGGTCTTGCATCTAATTTAGTAACATGTTTATTTAATTCATAATATGTAAAGAGAAAAAAGAGAGGTATGGAAAGAGAGGGAGTGGAAGTGAGATAGCTGAATAGAACAAACAATAAAAATGTATTTGAACTTTTACAATTTGGTACATTAACTGGATATTACCATAGAAAATGAAAAAAATTCTTCATTTATAGAATACAAATTATTGTTGTTATTATTATTCTACATTGTAATCAATTGTAATTAAGTAACAATATACATATATACAAGTATGTGTCTAATTGTGGAAATTAACGAAAGTATAAATGTTACGAAAGAAAACTAATTCTTTATTTCAATAGATTTTCATCTAATTCAAAATAGTCATAAGTTTGTTGGCAAATTTAAAATAAAGACATTATCATATTTATAAAGGCTTCCATTGTGTGCATGTACTTACATTGCCATTTTGGATGTTTAAACTGAAACTAAATCCCTGGTATCTTTCTTTTCAAATGTCATTGTATTGACAATTGATCTAAGGAGTTCAGATAGCTACTGGCATGTGCAACGAATGGATCATTTTTTGTGATTCGGTAGCAAGTTTTTATTGAAGCAGTATGAAAGCTAACTGTTAAATTCAGGATATGTGTTTCGTCTTATCTGAAATTCATTAGTCGGGTTTACCTGAACCTTAGTGTTGTTTTCTACACTGAAACTCGAAATCAATAGCGTTTGTTTCAAATGCTAATGTGATATCTAGGAACCACTGAGTTCAGAGAGCCAATAGCTTGGGTGATGAGTATAAACTGTATATGTAAGTGTTTGTTTTACAAAAACATTTGGCTAATTGGCACTATCGAATGAATCCGCTTACGATCACATATGTCATTAGGGACAGATCAGTTGAAAGTCTTAACTTCAACAACAGGAAAATGCAAACCCTTATAAATGAAATTTACTCTGCTTAAACATACTACTGGCTAACTGAACACCGGAGATCAATGTTTGACTCATTGATGTTTGAAGCGAAAGATAGTGAGTTCAAAACTTAGTATGAACATCAACAGTGGGAATGTATGTGCACACAGCTACTGAGTTCCTTGTAAAATAAAACGCCTCTCTTCGAATATATTACAAGCCACTTTTTAATAGATACGAAATATATATTAAGCAGACTTGTACTCACAGTATATTTGTTATTGCTATACTGCTTCCGTATTCCCTATAATCCACACGATAGATATTTAAGTAAATTTGTTTATATCAATAATTTTTGGTAAGTAGCTGTTTCATTCTAGTACATGATTCATCAACAGCGTACACTGACGACTACATTCGAGATCAAATTTAAGAGCTTTGATTCGTTTGGCGAGTTCTTCACATTCAAACTGTTAAGTTGGGGTTCATTTGTTTGTATTTCTAACTCTAGAGAAATCAAAATATTCCATAGGCATCATGCACCTATAGTATATTGAGAAATGAAATCTTTTCAGTTTTATATGAATGAAAACATTTCAATTTAATTTTACTATTTCCTGTATTTATCTTTTTAAGATGTCTTCTGTTCTATTCTAATCACCTGATGTTCTTTTATCAGTGAAATCATTAAATCTTAGTAGTAAGAAACAAATTCATGATATTTTATTAGATAGGAACAAATGTTTGTATTATTTAAATATCAGTCCAATGATAATAACACTCACCTTTTACATAATGTATGCAACAAGATATAATTTTTAATTTTATTCATCATTTAACAATCTGTAATTGGTGTTTGTCATACATTTACTTTCTTTGTTATATATTTGTAAATTTTAATGAAAACTAAACAGATGTTTCTAAACTCAGTTAAGACCAGACCACCATTGAAAACCTGGAAGCACTGGACGGCTGTTTCGTCCTGGTATGGGACTCCTCAGCAGTGCGCATCCACGATCCCGCACCACGCGGGGCTCGAACCCAGGACCTACTGGCTTCGCGCGCGAGCGGGATCGTGGATGCGCACTGCTGAGGAGTCCCATACCAGGACGAAACGGCCGTCCAGTGCTTCCAGGTTTTCAATGGTGGTCTAGCTTCAACTGACTCATGATTTCAACCTGTGAAATTTCTAAAAACTCTCCACAAAACCCATTCAGTTAAGACTGTTAATCATTGCTCTAAATGCTTAACTTGAAAAATTCACTAACCTTATGGGAGAATATTAGTTTATAATCCCTTAAATAATTCAAATTGTTTGTTATACTCAAACAACGTTTTTCCATAGGAAATTCACTGATCTAAATGATAGTGAGAATTTATAACACATGATTTGTATCTGGAATAGACGTATTATGACTGGGAGTCTAATCCTAGAAACGTGTTCATTCTTATTTGACACTTGTCACCTGGATGTACTTGCATCGCAGTTCTAATGTTTACTAACTTAATAGCTATGGAGAAACAATCCTCACAGGATGTACATATCTTAGCACAGTCCTTAGCATCAACTATGGGATAACCTAAGCACTTACTAGGAATGATATATACTATTTTTATCTTATACTGACTGACGAATTTATAAGGAAGACTAGTAGTTCAAAAGAAATACAATAACTATTGCATGTTATTTCAATGGCAAAAGTCTGAGGTCTTAACTGAGCAATCCGTTGGATTTATTTACTGACGATTTTTTTCCACCTTCTTTTAATCAACTGTGAAAATCGTTTTATGAAGAGGATTCTGAAGTTATATAATAATTACGACTTTTTAATACTTAATTGTCAAAACATTACAAGGTGTATCTACAGTCTCGAAGGTAACTATTAAACTTAGTTACTAGGGTTCACAATCTTACACTGAGACTTAGTTTGTTTAAGACAGCAATTACGCCCTGTTAATCATCACGAAATCTTGGTTATATAGGGTTTCCTACTGATTGATTCTAACAAACTAACATCCCAATATAGTGGACGCAAAGTTGAGTCACTTAGACTAGAGGCCTCACCGGAACTTGATTAATAGAATTCAGTAATTACTAATGGCTGAAAAATTCCCATTATATTACTAATGGATTAGACAATCATGACACTGAGTACTACTTAGTAACCAATCGGTAGTAGGTTTTAATATTTAATTGGTAATACTTATTAACCACTAAACACAGTTTAGGTTTACTCTTCACTACTGAATTCTTCAAGCTTCCTTAACAACAAATCACCTATGTGAATAAGATGGATGGTATTCTGTTTCAATATTGAACTCAGCTATAGTGGCAAGTAAATGTAATTTAAAACAGAACAAGTTTTACGAGTTAATTACATGATACCTTTACTTCTAAGCTTAAAAAATAAAACCAATAAATTTAAATTTATCTATTATTATTTCAATTAGACACTCAGTTCATTTCAATTGTTTCAATCAAAATGTATTAAATGTATTAAACATTTTAAGATGCATTTGTTTTCTTTACTACCATTCACAGCCTAATTTAAAATTCCCTCTGATATATTCATTCTTGTAAGTCGCCGCGATCGATTTCTGCAATGTAAATGAATTAGAATAAAGTCAAATTACAGTTATGAAAATAATTTATTACGTCAGAATTTATGATATAATATTGCACATATTCATTCTATTTTATGAATGAGAACGAAATTAAGGCAGAGATTTTTAGTATCGGTTATGTGTAGTTAGTTACTTGATTGTGGAATGTTATGTCATGACCGAGGATTAATTTAATTTATCCATATTTCTTAAACTCTTTCAAATAAACACATATTACATACATCGTATCATATATGTATATATATATATACTATTTTATAAACTTCATTTATACGAAAAGGAAAATCACTCTTCTGTGGTGTATAGGTTAATACTTTTAATAATTTTTATTGAATTCTATAGGCTTGATTCTACGGAAGAATTTTCAATACTAAAAATCCAATACTGCTATAAATATTTATTTTTGCCATGCAGATATACCATTTATAACTGCCTAAACATATTTTAACAGTGTTTTTTCATAATTTATCTTCAGTTACAGAATTATTCAAGTCAGTTAGTCATCATCTGCAAAGTCTGACAAATATACAATGACCTGAGTTGTCATTATCAAACTGGCACGATAAGATGAAGTTAGAAAGATGGATAGTAAACAAGTTGAGATAATCATGGCGAAAATAATAATGAAATAGAGTGAACATTGGGAGTACGATTCATGTAGAAGGAAATGAAAAGGTATATATAAAAAACACTATAACTGAAGATGGAGAGGAATAAAAATAGTAAATACATCTTCGCCATTATGACACGTTCTTGAACGACGTTACGCAACAACTTAAACCAGGCAATCTGGATCTACTAAAATGAAATTTTTCGCTCATTCTTGAACCGCATAACACGTTTAATGCATGAATTCTAATATATTCTCTACATATCTCTTCAAGGAATGCATGTGAAGGAAAATCTACCAACCGTTCTGCCGTTTTCATTTAGATTTATTAGTTTCACGACATGTTTCGTGCTTTTAACAAAAGTGAATGTATTTTGTGTGTTATACCAAATTCGTTTCGTAGTTTCAAAATACAGACCCTAAATATTACATCAGGCAGCGAAATCAAGTATACAGTTTACCAGTTCTAATTACCAGCAAAATAATGCACGTTGACCAAGATATCATGACCTACAGAGTTCTTATCTAAGTATATGAAGAAAGCTTGGTAAGTAGTGTGTCTTAGCTAGCTTACAAGCTCTATTTTAACTTCAAAATCGTTAGAAATATACAAATAGAAAATCGTCAGGAGAGATCAATTTACTTTTTAATCCTAAACACACATATTTTTTAAGGCTTACTTGACAGGTTGTGTACTTTCAGCCATTATAGAAGCGTTTAAATTCAATAAATAATCTTCATTACTTCTACCTGACCAACTTAACTCATCGATTAATTCTTGTGGTGTAGGTCCTGGATCATTAATACATGCATTTGGTTGGATTGCTTGTGTTCTTAGTTTACTGTAATTTAAAAAAAAGAAAACAGATGATATGTTGAAATTTACGGATATTAACATGCTCTATTGATGTTATTTTTGGACGTAAATCGATTTTTTGTTATAGACGCTTCTAACTACTTAATATTAAACGGCATTCACTATGATTTCGAGACACTTGATCCTGGTGTCAGCATTGAAACCTGATTGGTAGTATTTACTAGGAACTAACGATCAGATGATAAAACACTGAGTTTATTCTTCGATAAATTGTTCTATCTATCTATCTATCTATCAATTTTTGCTGGATATGTTTAACTGTCTTGTGCTTGGTACTGGAGACCTAAGTACACAAAAAACACAAAGACTACTGATATGAATTTACTTGACCACCAAAGTAAATAAAAATGATTTCTGAATACAATACTTTGGCTTACAGTCAGATTTGTAAAAGTTGAACTGGGTAATCTTTAACACCAATACATCAATAACTTACTATGTGATCAAATATTTTATATTGATAGGTTTTTACATTGACTTGATTTTACTTTTTTAGTCTCGCCATATCATAAATGATTAATGAAGATTGGTTATAAACGTCGCTAGAGGATGTTGTGAAAACTCTCGGATTTGTATTTCCACACCACACACTAAATTTAGTTCGTCAACCAAAGAAAAGTGAGAAAAATAACGGACAGTTATTTTGTCTCAGTATTGGGCTCTACAACAATATGCGTACACGACGGCATGGAAGCCTTAATTCTGAACTATGACTGTTAATCTACAGGACCATATGAATAGACAGGTTTTTTCTCATTATACAACGATGAAGATAATTTCTGGAGTTGTGATAAAGGGTGAACCTGTTGCTAAGTAACTGATTTCAGTATTATTGAGGAAGATAAAAATGTGATAACAATAGTAAATTGATTTTATGTGTTAATGCTAGAAAATGGAAGATATTTATAAACAACTTGGATGAGATAAACATTATGTAATCATATGAACGTATCTGTTTATCAATGAATTTCTTGGTGTGTCTTTTTTTGTTTCTGTACTAAAGCTGTTATCTTGGTTCAACATAATTTTGAGTGGAGGCAATCAACTCATCAGGATGTAGAGAATACGATTTAGTTAATTCTTCTTACACTGGTTCATAATTTTATCAACTGAAGTACTTTCCTTAATCTGAGTTTAAGATGTTGAATTATTACAGCTCAAGTGGTTATATTAATAAATTTTAGAGATTTTCTAAATAGTCGAATACCACTATTTTAACCAATGGCATATGCAAATATGCCATGAGATATGTTATAATCAGTGGAGTTCAGTCATGCCGGATGTGAGAAAGTCAGTCACTAAGAACATGTAATGATGATTGTTCGACATTATATTTTACTTGAAGTTGAGCTTGCAAAGTGATGCCGAGTCAGTGTTCGAGTGTTAAGCATTAATCACAGGGCTTGAAGGTTCATGTTTCGATCCGTGATGGAGTCGGAGATACAAACTACGGTGGAATCCAATACTATGACAAAACAGCTGTCCATTGCTTCCTGGTTTTTTAATGATTGTCTAACTAAGTCCATTCGGTATGTTCACTATAATGACCCATGAGGTTTGCTAAATCAAGGAAATAATCTGTTAAACTGGCTGATTCCGTGATAATGTACAATCATAATGAACAGTATAGCCGAGAAATCATATATGACTGGTGATCTATCTAATATGTTATGATTATTATTTGAATGTATTATTATTGACCGTACTGTCACGAAAAAGGAATTCATGTTAGTCACAAATCCATAATCTTCATTCATTCTTAGCGAATCTTATATTTCAATTCTTGTAACCTTAAATAATAGTGAATCATTCAAGACATAATTAGCTAAAAGTACGGTCCTTTCTTCATCAGTTCTCTATAACATTTTGGTTTAAAAGATAATTAATGAACAATTTCTATGATCTTTTCACCTTCCTGTTATATCTACTCAATGATCAATGATTGGCTTTCATGAAATTTTTGAAAATAAAATTCCCCATTAAATGATATTGTAAATAACCATTAGGTAAGACACTGTTTATGGTTTCTTTTTATTATTTAATTCAAAACCTTGAAAGCCGGAATGAGTAATCTACAAAATAACAATTTACCGTTGCAATTGTGTCAAGTTTGGTTGTAAACCATTCATTTCATTATAAGTAAAAGTGGATGATGGCTATCAGTGAAATCCAGGACGTACATTTTGTCTTAGTTGGGGCTCGTCATTTTAATAGGTGTTCAGATGATGTTAATATGATCTGCCGAGGACAAATAGGAATTAACTCAGTAGTGCTGTTTAGAGGACTTTGTGTTGATTGATTTGATTTGTAGGTTGTATTCGACACATCGATTTCAGCTAGTGTATCGTCGTAAATCAGAGGGCATCAGACAGCTGTTTCATTCTACTCCACACCAAATAGCATTCATAATCCTACAAGCGATCGAACCATGGACCTTCGGATCTCGCCATTCATGCTACTGAGTTAGTGCTCAGTGATTCGATTTCAAGACCAATCAATTTACGAAATATCTCGATAATCATCTAATGTCACTGTTGTAACAGTTGTTTAGTTTCTGATACTTATGAACTCCACTGGTTGAACGTTCGGCGAGAATATAATTTATGGACGAACCAACCAGAAAGAAGATAACAGATCTTGAGTTTTGGCGCGAAATTCATTCATACATTTGTCTAACTAGCGTTTTGGCACTATAACTGATGTTACTTCGTGATGTAAACTATAAATCTAATTCCCAACTCTAACCATCAACTATAAATCGGAATTCTAATTCTCATACAGGTTCATAACCTTCATTCAGTCCTAGTTTGTAGATGGGCATTTTTAAAGTCACTTTCAAATCGCTCAAAGGTCGTCCATTTAATATAGTCTCAACGAACGTTCTCGTAGAAACACGAAGGCCGTGGGTTCTACCACTGACTGGGTCGTGAGTTCTCACTGCAAATACTCAGACGAAACAGTTGTCGAGTGCCCTCTGATTTTCATTGTTACCCCAACGGTAATCAATCTGTATGGACGGTGTTGTGCCGTTAAAGATTCCATTCAACCTCATATCCGATCTCTGATTTCTAACAGCTTAGCCCTTAGCTAAGTGGGTCAAAATGTGCCATAGGACTTTGATTTGTTGGAATATTTCAATATGTATCACTAAGTTGTATCCCGCATCATAATAATCTTTATCAGTTAGGTGTCAAAAAAATTATTTTGAGATTTCGATTTCTCTAGTAAAAACTATTTAGAAGATGAATTCCTGATTCATGGATCATTTGAAAGTCAAACACTGATTTTTTTTCTATTATAAGATTAATTTATAATGGTACAAAAAAGTTGTAACTGAAGTAGATATTACTTCAAATAGACTTCTACACAGAAGTAGACGCTGATAATGTTATCCAAAACAGTAATGAATGCTTCACACTTAATCCATTCACTTTCAGATAACGCAATACTACCAACAAATTGACATGATTGATACTTCATACTTCTTCATGCTAACCTATTGTTCAATGAATACTGTTTATAAAGTTTTATGTTGAATATAAAAACTGCAGATTTACTTTAACTCAAGTTAACTAGCTAATAAACTATAGAAGCGACTTAATCAATACAACAAAATAAATAATTTACATTTAATTAAGAGTTAAGTAAGGTCATGTGTTTTGGATGATGCTTTCTGAGTTATTTGTCTGCATGCAACTAAACTTAAAAAAGAAATGTGGTTCATGAGTTTCGTTTCTCATTAATTATTACGTGCAGATTATTTAAATTAATTGCTTCCTTACTTTGTCTACATGAATATAAAAATAAATTAGTTGATCATACATAAGTGTATGACTTCCATGCAATAATAATCGTCACAGTGTATAGTGATTATTACCAATTATTATTAAACAGATAACAAATGAATATCAGATAATAAGTAGTTCTAGCAGTAATAATAATATTAGTAGTAGAAATAGTAGTAGTGACTATCTTTCGTTTGGAGTGAGATATTTATATTGATTGTTCAGTAGTTATTGACTAATGTTTAGTTCTTCCTTTAGTGCTAATCGTAAGCTATCAATCATGGTGTAAACTGGTCACTTCTCTAGGTGGCTCAACATTATGTCCACTGTGTTGAAATGTATGGGGGTTTGGTATACAAATAAAAAGATAGTGAAAAACATATACTTCTTGTTTCTACTTTTCTTCACAAATAACTTCCATTCACATTCACAACAGTCTTTGTAAATAAATTTTATTTTATACTACCTAGCCAATGGATTTGTCTCTTTTTAAGGATATTTATAGGCTTTTCAAGAAAGGATTAGTTCTCGAGGTTGACTATTGATAATCACTGATTAGCATCTCATTTTGTATAATGTGCATGTTCACACAATGTTATCATGTGTCAGTGAAAATTGTTTCTTTCTTTGAAATCCATTTTCGTTGTAAGTTTATCAATGACTGTTTTTTTTAATAACTTATGACTGGTGAATAGAGTTTATCCGATCAACATTGTACGTATAATCATTTAAACATTCCAAAGAGCATGATATATTTTAATCTCTGCATCGGATTTTAATGGAATTGAATTCAGATTTTACGTTGACACCATCCAGGGTAGATTTCCTAATTAAAAACTGTTAGAAGCTTAAAACAACTACAACTGACCCTTCAATTGGATCCCACATTTCAATGAATCTCCAGCTGGCATCACATCACAGTCTGACGTGTAGTCTTGTAATTTACTGTTATTCTACATATTAACGATAATTAATAACAAAATAAACATGTTTAATCTGTCTATGAAGTTTCCTATAGGAAGATTAAATTTACCATGGTATAACCTTGGGATTTTAAGCTGTTCTGTATAACCAGAAGACAGTAAAACAGTGAATGGTTTACTATGTTGGGTTTAGGACTTATGATCAAGATGCAGAGTTAAAGATGCAAGATTTAGAAATAGTTTTACTTATTGTAAAA